CGAATTTTTTTGTTTTTACTCTTATTCCTAGCACAATTAATAGTTGTTGCCTGATAATTAATCTTTTAAACATTTATATGCGATAACTAAATTGAACAATAATAACTCTAGTTTTTTTGATGTTATTCGCATTACCAAGAATACCCAGAAATCAACCAAAAAAAAAAAAAAAAATAATAATAATATTAGAGTGTCATAATTTAAGTGTCAGATACTCTTGAAGGGTTTAATTTTGACACAAAAAGCAGACGAAAATTTTCTTCTCATTTTGAATGTCAAGTGTGCAAAGTTTTATCAAAAATGAAATAGAATTGGAAATTTGAATTAGAAGATTATATATAAAAAAGATTTATTAAATAGTTAATAAAATATACTTTCCTCGTTTTGCGTTTTAACATAACCGTTTATTCCAAGTAAAAAATAAACATTTTTTTTTTTTAAACAAGTGTGATATAAAATAAACATATAGTAATGCATTTAAACATGATACCTATAATACTATAATATAATCTGGACGTGATTCCTCATTATATACAAGAAAAATAAATAAGACATTAAAGTTGTATAAAAAGCTTTTGGAATCTTTTCAGTGCCCCGAATCTCTTTGTGAAATACATAATAATATGATAAATCAGTCTCTCGTCTGTAATGCTGACGGATATAATATTTAGAAGCTCCAAAACTAAACATTATTGGAATAAAATATATTTCAATTGCAGGACGCCTTTAAAATAACAGATTTTGATATTTTGAAAATAAATAAAATGAGGAAACTATTAGGTAAAAGGTTGATACTGCTGATGTGTGCTTCACTGTTTTAGGAGGGAAGTTAGAAAGAAGAAAATATGAAATAATTTAAACTATATCTATGCGCAACAATAGTGCATTGCTGTTAATAATTCTGAGCAGAGTTTTATTGTTCGGATATTTTATTTTATTGACAAGATAACCCAGAAATTAACCACCATTCACAGAAATTAAAGATAGTTGACAGTATTTCTGCATTTATTTAGAAAACTAAAAATAAAAGAATAAAACCCCTCTCCTATGGACAATTAAGAGTAAAAATGCTATAAGATAGTTGAAAGAATAAAGTTTTGATCGGAACAAAATTGCATGTTAAAAAATCGATTACAGACAAAAAAAAGTACATCATAGCCATATCAATATATGTCCCGTTTCACGCGAAATCTAATATTAATTGTTAGCAAATAGGCTTAATAGCGCTTATTCCTTCATAATATGCAAAAATTATTATTACCTACGTTACAATATCATTGAAGAATGTATTGTATTCATTGGTTATTCTAAAAAACAGATTTATTTAATTTGAAATATTTTTCAGATACTTAATTAATATTTAAAATATTCAGCCAACGAACATAAAATGTCAATAATTTCGATGATATATTTGGTGACATGATTCTATACAAACTAATATTTAAGTATAATAATATAACGCTGAGAGTGTTTCATTTTCGTTGTTTAGTTTGACGTTTTTGGATATTTTTTTCTTCTTCTTAATAACTATAACACGTATCTAGTTAAATTGTTTTCTGTTTTTATTTCTTTAGTTTATGCACCTAATTTTTAGACAATTAACGATAATAAAATAATATATTTTACCGTAAAATATTATTTTGTCCTACTTACGGAAATTGTTATTATTGTTATTATTATTTTTTGTCTCAAATGTATTAAATATTAAACGAAAACAGTTTATTATAACCATTGAAAGTTTAACAGAGTGAATTAGCGCAATAAATTTCCCACCACACATTTGAATTGCGCTTAAACGCTTATAAATAATAGAATAATCGGTTACTATACTCGACATTTATACGTTTACATTTTTGAAAAATGTTTTTATGTTCCACTTTAAAAATGAAATTCAAATAATTCATGTATGGGTAAAAACAGTGACATATTATTTTATTATACAGTGGTGTAAATTGACTTGTGCAAATGTAGCACTATTTTCAATATGGTGGTACAAACTTATATTTTTGCATCATCAGAAAATCAGAAAAATATTTTCAAATGTAGACGTTTGTTTATTTAATAGAAACATTGTAACATTCATTAAGATAAAACCTTATGATGGGATAGCTACCATTTACCACACTGTTGTACATAGAATGGAACAAGTATATCAAGCTAAATCACGTGAATTAGATCTATTACAATAATGTGTCCACTAACTTTAGGTATTAAATACAATTTTTAATAACCAATAATAAATTTATTGCTGTTTAATGATCAAATAATGCAATATTAATGTTTGATTTTTGTAAAAAAAAAAAAAAAAAAAATTATTATTTATTATATTTGGAGACCCAGAAAATTGGAGAATTGGTGAGTCAGAAAATTAAATATTTCACTAATTTTCAAGAAATTGTGACCGCTTTACGACGCTGACATTATTTATTTACAAAATGTACTACCTATTGTGTAATTTACGTTACATAACATCGCTGTAATTTTTAATTTTGGTTTCAAAAAAAAATCATAAATTAATGTAAACGTGATATACGTTGATTGTTATAGACAAATAGTGTACCTATATTCAGTGATTCACTCGATTGGAAACACACATTATTTCGGAAAGTATTAACTTTTTTTCCTTTTGTCTAGAATCGAATAGTTCTAAAATGTTACGTTATCATTTTTTTACCCCTTTTTTGGGACGGGTGGGTGAAATAACTGACTACGTTTGATTTTCAAAAGCAAAGCTACTTTGAAAATGCTTTAAATAAATGAAGTATTATTTAAAATAAATGTTGGTGTTTATATTTTTGATTTCCGTCAACCCGTTAACGAGAAATTCCACTTTTAAGTTTGGGTAAATGAGAGTAGTGGTGCATAATTAATACGCCGCACGCTATAGAAATCAAAAATTTCAAGATTCAAATTTATTTTAACTAATACTCCATCTATTTATGGATATTTTAAAATAGGTTGCAATTTGAAAATCAAAAGTAGGTAATGGTTTTATCCCCAAAAATAAGGGTGACAAACCATAACATAAATATAAAATTGTAGAACAGCTGGTTTTTAAATTTTCTAGAAAACAAATTCCGGAAAAAGATAATACTTTTCGAGATAATGAATGTACCCATTTAAATGGTTCATCCGAATCACCGAATAATATTACTGAAATGTTTAAGATGTGTTATTGATATAGTATATTACCAATCGACACGAATACGGTATCATTTGGTTGTTTCATAAAGCAATGTTTTATAAATCAACATAAATAATAATGTCTAACCGTTTAATTTGTACTGCTAATTTCATATTACTATACTTACATCCAAACCAATAACATATACGTATAATAATTAAAAATACATTATTATAGGTGTGTCATATTGTCATATATTTTACCTATAATGAATGTTACTAACCATTTCTATTAGGTTGAATTTGTGAATTTTCTAACAAAAACAATAACAATTCACATTAACGCAATGATATAATGTAGTTGTTCCTTAAAAATATAAAAATAGTATCTTAATTGAAGGGCTGCGTGCAAAGAATGCATTTTCACGAAAATGCTCTGTTTACTTAAAATGTTTCTGAGTGGAGTGAAGACGCTTATGGTGTTACAAAGATGTGCGCAACTTTTCTACCAGAAGACTTGCTCAAATTTTTAAGTGGAGTGCTTTTTCTAGAAGGAAATTGGCGTGGCGAGGCATTTAAAAGAGGTAATTTTTCGAATTTCTCAGGTGTTTTATTATCAAATTTGAAAAACCGAAAAAAAACCGGAGGAAAAACCGGAAAATATAAGGAATGTAGGATTTAGTTAAAATATATTACAACCTTATTTTTTTTCTGTGTAAAACTTTTTTACTAGAAATTTTTCTCCAACCTTTGATAGTTATGTTTCTAAAAGTAAATCCGACTGGAGAGGCCCTTTAGAGAGATTATTTTTCGATTTTTTTCAATTTTCTCATTAAATTTAAAAAACTGTAAAAAACAGGAAAATGTACGAAATACATAATATTATAAACTAAAATATTACGTTTATTTTTCTTGTGCACAACTTTTCAACCAAAAATTTTGCTCCAATTTATAATGTTAGCAATGGTTCTAAAAATAAATTTAACTGAGAGGTCATTTTTCGATTTTCCCAAGAGTTTTCCAGGCAAATGAGAAAAATCTGGATAAATATGAGAAAACCGGGAAAAACGATTAGATACAATTTAATGACAGTAATAATATAACGAGAGAAAAAGAAAATACTTTTCTTCCTATTTTATTTATATATTTTTAACGAGTAATATAATAATGACAGTTACATGTGTAACGTGTTTCTTTAATGAAATCCGCAGTAACAATGACATTAAAATGAAAATTGATTATTTTCTTTTGGGGCAAAATATTTTTTTAATAAAATAATTTAAAAAAATAAAGTAATAATAGAAATTTAATTTGAACTTAATATAATCATCGGGCTGGAGGCGTGTGCCATATTCGACACCGAATAATTTATAAACTCTATATATCTATACAGCATACATACACATACTATACGCAGTCGCTATTTTTGTTTAAAACAAATATGAGCTCTGCCCATGGAAGGAACGAGTACAATAATAGCCATGCCCGAAATTCCCCCGTGGGGTCACCCTTGCAGAACGCATTAATGTTTAACGTGGTTAAAGTGTAATTTTTAAGACAATGCTATATAACAATAATAATTATTAAAAACAATACCAACACCACCGCCACCATTTCGTTGACACCGAGTATACGTTGTCGTTTCAATGTAATCCGTATATATAATGCATATAGAAATAATAAATTTGACCCATATCTACGAAGGTTTCGATTAAATTACAGTTTCTGGTTTTTTTTTTTCCGGATCTATAATACTATACAACACACAATTTTATCAAAATTTGAAAGACAACACTCAGTTACCTACCTAAGAATGTCAAAATATAATATCATCTCAAGACTATATCGGATGTATCGGATTTATACTTCGAAGTTTCTAATAGTTTGAAATTTATACTACAATACAAAAAGAAACAGTGATCAGTAAATTTCGAATCCGTATTTATAACAGTGTAATTACCCGGAATAAAGTTGAAATGTTAAACTTATTTTAAATAAGATCGTGTTAAATGATTTCATCAATAAATTATGTGACGGTCAAAGTAAGAAACCTAGACCATTTTGGATACGAGAGTGGCCATTATTTTAGGTGGTTAGTTGGAAAAGTGGGATACTTAAATTTTTCTATAAATTCCGATAAATTTATACCTGAAACCAATGATAAACAATTGATAATCATTGATTTGAAGCAAAATTCGGTTATAAATGTTTTAAAAGGCTGTGATATTTACGATTTTCGTCAAAATTAAAATTTCTCACAGACATACACACACAAAAAACAAATCATAGATGCCCTAGAAAAGTGAACACTGGCTGGATTCGTGTAAACAAAGTAAGTTGAATTAAATCCGGGCTATATCGATTGGCCTTCATTATGAGTTTACAAGTATTACCGTTATAAATGCAAAATACTAGGTATGTAAAAGCCAAAAATGCAAATTTGTAAAGTTACGCTTGGAATATAATATCTAATTAACAGTTAAAATTCTTTAACAGTAAACATAATGATTCAGTAAAAATAAATTATAAAAACTATACATTTTAATAACTATGTTTATTATAGTTTACATAAATATTTATCTAGGTAAGTTATACAAATAATACCATATGATATCTGTAAGAATAAATTTAACTACAAAATCTATGAAAAGGTAATTACTATTATTATGAGATACAATGATAATGAACAAACAAACGGAGAATAGCCGAAGGATAAAACAGACAAATTATAAACTTTGATAAGTGAATGTGATAAACTGTAGTATTGTACATAGTGCCGATTGCCAATGACATTAATAAATTACAGTATCTCGTATTTTATTATATAATACTTTAGATTACCTTTTGCATTTACGTTATCTAATTAGATTTAAGCACCGTTTGCAATACCCGGGCAGCATAAACTTTTTTCTATTGTGGCCACGAAATTCGGAATGTTGGAGCACAGTGTCCAAGCGCAATTATTGCATCAAAATGTCCAATGCTCTGCTTTTACCGTAACACATCTAATAATATACAACAACTGAAAAATACCGAAATCGAGTTTACCCAAAATGTTCGCATATTCGCTGGTCCGTGAAAAAAAATACTCTGTATACGTAACACGTGTATTACGACGTTCAACCACTGAAAAATATAACGAACAAAATGGCGTTTCTCCTGTAAAACGGTCCAAAGTCGTTTGCGCGTACGATTTTATTTTTACCTGCTATCTAACGTATCTAACGACTTGAAAACGTACAAAACCCCGATTTTTTTTTATAAATATACAAATTATATACAATATATTATCCGCGTAATTCGCTCCGCCTCACACGGAATTCCTCTTCAACCTTTCAAAAAAAAAAAAGGCTCCGGACTTTCAGCTTTTCTAGTACGTTGGAGGTATAATAATGCGGGGAAATTTTATATAGATTCTGAACGCACCGAGGAATGTATTCGCATTGGTTCTTATACTATTATGGTATATAATAGTAATATATTATGATTTTTTTTTTTTAACTTTGCGAGGTCGTATTTTTTTCGTCTTGGATTAAATCTAAATTATTATAGTGTTTTGAATGTTTTTAAATTTCAAATGCTTACACGTGGATTTTAGATTCATAGACAAAGAGTCTGTTAAACCTAATCTTCTTTCGAAATGAATACTCAGAGTCATAGGAGGGAGGTAGAGCGTACCTACTCCTCGGGCGCAATGCCTAGAAAGACAAAAAAATACCTTAACAATCTATATATTATGTATTATGTAAAACGAAATTAAATGGAACACACATTTAAAATGTAAGAAATCCATTAGTGAAATATACGATGATGAAAACATTAATTCGATTGCAATTTAACAAAAATCTTTCAACTTTGAGTTTTCATTATACTAGTAATTTAACTTCACATGGGCTCATTTTAATGCTTTGTAGGTACCCAGCACAATATTTTGTCACTACATCTCTGTGTCTGATGCATGATCTCTTCATACATACATGTCTACCGTAATAATGACAACTAAAATAATGTTAAATTTTAATTATTTCAACGCCTACATTTTTTTTTTTATAGTCTACCGTTTTATATTCTACGATTTGTATAGTCTACCAATTAATGACCTAATATTTTTATAGCAACCATAATACTATTTTTATTTTAGCCAGAAAGCTAGTTTAAAATGCATGTTTATACATATTATATAGATCTGGAATAAATATAATGTTATTAATGATTTAGTTTTTTTCACTAAAATATTCTAGTAGCCGATAAATTCACTTACCGTTAACCAAAGCCAAGGGAAAATGAATAATAGTTATATTAGAGATGTGAATTAAAAGATATTTGTAACGCAACATGCATAAGTAACAAAAAATTAGAATAAAAAAGGACATATTTCGTACGATGGGTGCAGCTACTGTTGTTGGTGAGAAGTCGGTAATGTAAGATATAGAGAGGAAATTAATTTTTATCTATAAGCAACGATAAACCATTGTTTTTTAAAAACGATACTGATTGAAGTTCGGTTGATAGTGATGCTTGTAGCCTTTGTATGCTTAGTAGAAGGCCGTTTTCTAATATCTACATTTTGTACATTTTTCAGTTTTTCATCAGTTTTTTTTTTTCGGTTTTTCATATTTGTTGAGAAAACTATTGAGAAAATCAAAAAAAATGACCTTTTTTAAAGTACTACCCCAAGAAAATTTCCTCATCCCCATGAAAATTTCAGAAAAAGGTCTACATTGTATACATAGGAGTAAACTTTCTGGTAGAAAAAGTATTCACATAAAAAAAAAAAAAAAAAATAAACATTTTTGTAAAACCAATACATTCTACGCTACTCTCAGAATCTAAAACCATGACCTTGAAGGATTACACGATTACGTTGCAAAGCTAGCTGAATTGAAGCGAAAAAAACAGCAACCCGAATAGCTCAAAATAGAACATATTAGATAATGTAACGCATACTCGTAATATATTATAGATAAAATATTATATTACAAAAATAATAGTTATTTGAATATTTAAACCTAAAAATAGTAGATGTATTTAAAAATAGACTATGCCAGGCGACTACTTATCTAATTCCTGAATTTCGGACTTCTGTATCGTTTTACTGTCCCGGTCTGTTTTTATTTTCTTTTGGCACCATCTCGTTTTTCATGGTTTATCGGCCATTATTAAGACATACAGTGTTCGCAAATAAATAAAAATGCACAGGCCTATATATGTACGCCCAGTAAGTTAGGTCGTGAACGTTAAAAATAAACCGTACTATATTATAGCGATAGGCCACGTTTCATTTTTCCAACCGAATGTTAAATTTAAATTAAGCCCGGGAGCATATAAGCATTCTATACATGAACTTGACACCTGTATTAAAATCAAGGTCTACGATTGGTTTATTTGAATATACCACCAAATAATTTAGGAGCTTGTTATCACGGTTTTAGCTCAAATACATATTTATTTTACAATCATTTCAGAATTGACGAGGCGTAGTAATCGTTTGCACTTTTTTTCGTAAAAAATACAAGCGTCTAATTTTCGTAAGTGATTTAAACATTTTTAGTTTGTCCGAGACACCCCAATCGATTTTATTTTTCACTTTTTCCTATTTTTTACCTAACATGGTTTTGCATAACAAATCGAGGGTGATTTTTAAGCTATATACATTTCATCCAAATAATTCTAATATGTACTATAAGTATTAAATAAAATATTTGGCGGTATATTTATGTGATAAGAATATTATTGATAATATAAAATATTTGGCGGTATATTCAAATAAACCAATTGTAGAGCTTGATTTTAATACAGGTGCCCTAAGCTCATGTACGGAATGATTATATGCAATCAGAGAGAAAAAAGTACTAATATATTACAATGCTAATAAATAGTATACGGTGCAAAAAAAAAAAAATAAATAATATTTCGATAAAATCTTCTTGGTAATATAACGATTTTTACTGAAATTAATATGACGATAACGTCGAAACACCTGTATACCGTATGAACTATTCGAAAAATGTTTGAAAGAGACTGTTACTCACAAGTTCATATTTTTTAATACAGCATTATTTTCTAAAATAAAATTTAAAAAAAAACTAATATATTTCGCACGTGGGTGCAGCCACTTTAGTAGGTGGGAGGTAGAATACAAATTGGAATTTAATGTATACCTGTATGCAACAATTAATCATTGCTAACGGAAAACGATTCTGCGCGGATTTCGGTTGTACACATTTTGAATTACTATAATATTTACGATTTTCGTCAAAATTTGATATTAAAATACTAAAAAAAAAAATTCTACATTGGACTCAATTTTTTTTTTCATCACAATATTTTACACGTTTTGTTGATTTATGGATTACCCTGAATACAAGGGAAATAACCACGACTAATAATAATCCGAATAATTTCGTTTTTGATTACAATGATTTATCATTGAAGTTTGTATATATATTTAATTCTTATAAATTCTATACCTTTCAAACCTCCTACGGACTCTATGGTAGCCTATCCATGGTGTGAAGTATGGTAGGATTTTTTAAAATTTAATTATCCTTAAGTCATATTTTAATTTTGTTTATTTTTCTGAAGTTTATTAAATAAAAAAATTGTAAACATTTATAAACCCAAATCCAATATTGAACAAAGAAAAACAATGCAAATAGAATTTTGCCAAATATTCTAGTAATTTCAGATATATACCAGTGCTATAACGATACGGCTGTAGAGACGTATAATTTTATTAGCTTGATTGTTTAATAAATCCCAGCGGGACTTATCTAGTAAATACATAGAATATTATTTAACACATTATGTTCGATATGTATCGAAATGTACTTAAATATCAAACAATGAAGATGTTCTACCGCACTATGGGTATATATAAATATACACATCACATATTTTTACGTAAATATAATTTGTATAACGAACACAGGTAACAAATTTAAATGAAACCTTTTGTTTTGAATTTAATGGTTTGATAATAATGTTGTGTTTTCATTGGTGATCTAAGTAATATAATAGAGAATATAAGTAATTAAGATTTTAAGTGCTATCAATCGATACTTTTTTCGACTAAAAAAGGTCGGGTCGGAATAATAATTTGTTTTTATTCCGCAATGGAACTTAATGAGTAGAAAATATTTTTATTTTGATTGAATCCTTTTATAATAAAATACAAAAACAAGGTTCAACTTAACGCGTAAAGTAAATACGCTGTTACCATACTATTATAAACCGAACGATACAATGAATGAATACAATTTCTACGATATTGGATCGGAATAATGCAAGAATGACAAAGATATACAAAGTGTATAAAACGATATAATAACTTTAATGCGGTAAGTTAAGCGAAATTTAATTTTCAAACGAATTTAAAATGCAAGTTTTACTTGTTTATGTATAATTCGTTTAATGATATTAACTTCAAACTTGAAGCATAGCATATAAACAATTAAGGGGAGGCTAGGGAGTCTTTAGCACCCCCAAAAACTCAATCAGGTTTTTCATAGTAATATCAAAACATTTTATCCATGTATTTCATAGTTCATGAACAGATCAAAATACAGGTTTCCCACAGACAATACACGTGTGTATGAAAAATAATGTTAAAGTAATCATGATAAATTCGTATACACAAAATTGTAAATGAAAGATGTATTTACCTATTGTGACAGTCATGTAAAGAGGACTATGGTAACATAGCACCCATGGGTATTTGATGTATCTATAATTTTACCACCCCCAGGATTGGTGTCTAGTTGCGTCTATGATTCGTAACCAATATAAACTAAAATATTATGTAATTTTTCTTGACGGTTTCGTGTATGTATTTTGACTTTTTCATACGGTACGCATAAATTGTTCCAATACAACGGTAAGTAACATTACCGTGTTTATAAATAAATACATTTAACTAATTAAATTAATCCGGTTTAATCGGACATTTGTAAATATAACAGACCATAGGCGATTGTGAAAAAAATCGATAATAATTTACAAGTTTTTCTCTAACGTGTATCCGTTGGCTAGGTAGTATAGTGCCTCGTATTTTAAAAATAATATTCGCCGCTCTTCCGTTGTACAAGTATGGAAAACATATATATTGCGGTAACCACGTTATAAAAATATATCGCGTTGTTTGAAACCTTGTAATTCGCTTATAAAATTGCCAAGACGGTCGTATAGGTATATAATATAATAATATAAGGGTTTTGGTGACCTATTTTATAAACAGCGAGATACGGGTTCTCCGGCGAGGACAAACAATAATAGGAGTCGATGTTATTTCAATCGATTGGCATTGTCTATTTGTATAAAACGCGTAGTCGGTCCTGGACAACTGTTGTGCTCTGGGCGTTTATAATTATATTAATGTACTCGAAAAATTCCATCCGACCACCTTTCGAAAAAGTTTTTAGAAAAATGTATGAATATTTATTAACTTTTTTTTTTTATACTGTTACAAATTCAATTGTTATCTATTAAAGTCAACGTAACACGGTATTTTGAAATCTCTTTCCAGGTAACTAGAACAATCGAAAAGTCATATTTTTTTTATGCGATTTATTTGGTAATACTGTTTGATAGGTTCTTATTTTAAAAAAGCTAATTCTTTATAACGGACGGGTGTGCAATCATTGTAGGTGAGAAATTGGGAAAATAGGATACATAAGGTTATTTAATTTATATCTGTAGACAAGGATCAACCATTACTTGACGAAAAACACTTCCAGCGCAGTTCGACAATACATAATTTAAAGTGCCGTAATTTTTTTTTTGCGATTTTCGTTTAAATTTGATTTTAAAACGCTTATTAAAGAAAAAAAAAAGGTCTTATGATTTTGGAAATTTTACCACATCTAGGTAATACAAATATAAGTATAATTACCAAGTTTCAAGTCCCTACGTGTATTTATAACCGAATCACAGCAAAAAACTCCTGAAAATTAAAATTCCTTAAAATCTCAAAAGTTTTGGCGATAATATCGTAAGAAAGTAAATCAAAAAGATAATAAAAAAAGGTGTCTTGTGATTTTTCGATTAAATCATTTTTTCTGGTAGAAAACGTCATCTGTATTTTTATAAAATAATGAAATTGTGAAATTGTACGTTTTCCTACGTTTTTTTCCTACTTAAATGCTTTTATTAGAAAAATGGTGTCAAAAATTACTTAAGATTTCAGAAAAGTTGCTACACGTAAAAATCGGAGCAAGTTTACTAGGAAAAAACATGTCCACACACTATAACAAAGAAGAAAACAAAAATAGCGTTGTTAAAGCACTAAATCGCTACGTTCGGAATCTAAAACTTAACGCCATTAGTTCCTAACCTATAAATAGATAAAAATCACGATATAATAGAATTATTATTTTACCCGATGAAATTTTAAAATTTCGACGGAACGTCATTCCTGGAATATAGAAACCTACCTACCGTCATAATTGTAAGTGAATAGTGTCTGCATAGAAGTCAATTTTTTTTCAATTTTAAGATAACGACATTGTAAGACGGCACTTATTTTAGACTTATAGTGAACGTTGATTTCCGCTGGATAATAAAAAAAAAAAAGATTTAGTTGGTTAGTATTTGAAATTAAAATATCGTATAGATAATAATATTCATCACTTGTTTTTTAAAGAACGAGTAGTCTGTGCAGCCGCAGAGGAATTTTACTCTTCTGTTAAAAATGGACTACCACTAGTACTATACAATTCTTCCCCCGATCGTTTGAAACAATACGATAATTCGTACATACTGTTCATATGTATTATCGTAATATACTTCGTTAAACCAGACGGTTCATAGTAGCCGTATCACCGTGTTTTTATATATTTCGAAGTCGTGGCGGACAAATCGCGTAATATTATTGCACTAGGTAAGTTAAGTGGGAGATATATTATATTTGCATAATATATTTATACGTATATATGTATATATTTTTTAGGTTTTACGCGTTGTAAATCAAAACCTTTTCGCCACTCGTTTGCCCGAAACTAACGATATAGATACAACGATAATATATCATTATTATTATTATTATTATTGTTATTACAACCGTCATTTTGTTCGTGGCCTGGCTATTTATTTCTTCTTGCCTCGTCGCGTCATCTTTATCGTCTTTTTATTTTCCTTTGCTCACCTTTCTTAATATACAATATACGTCCGTTTTTTACCGTCACGCGTCGTCGCGTCTTTACTGGACAAAACTTAATAGGGTTGCCAATGAATAATTAACATAGACCGTGACGTCGCTCCCTTTCTCCCCGCACGCTGACAACCATGCCATTGGTACAATATTGGGTTCGATCAACTCATATTTAAATTTAATAACGACCGGAATCATATTATCCGGCCCCCTTTTGGTAACGATTTTTTTCAAGAAATTTCGCAAAAAGTATTTAAAAAATAAATAATAGTTTGTCCATTTTAGATTCCGTATAGAAAAATTAAATCGATTAAAAGGAAAAAAAAAAAATGTGAAAATTGTTTTAATATTAAAAAGTCAGACATATTATATTAGACATAGGGTCATTAAGTTTATACACTTAAAGCAAAACCCAATCATTGTGATTAAAAAACGATTCTGAACTGAGTTCGGTAAACTGGTAAAATTATTCAGTATCTATTATTTGTGTTTTTTTCCATTGCGGTCAAACTGCCAATGTAACCTAGACATCCGAAAATAAAACCAATGTCATCGCACGTCGTTTGTTTATTTTTGTAGGAACAAGATGGAAAATTCAGAGCGTTTTCGGATTAAAATTTTGTATCGAGGGTTTCGAGGAAAAATATATGAAAACATATCAAAATACAAAACATCGATAGCCAACAATACATTTCTACACTGGTCGATTGATTTTTATAGTTAGAAATTTATAATTAAAAACTAGTTAATGGACTGTCAACTACAGCTCGAGGACCGAACACGGTATCGTATTAATGTCAATTATTATATACTCAACGGAATTTATATTATTTTTTTTTTTTTGACATCATGATGTTTTGTCTATGTCGGGGACCGTAAAGGGTAAAAAAATAGGTTACGAAAAATACCATTATTATAAATGTATGTAACGTCTAAATCATATTAAAACGTGGGCCCTCGCATATTTAAAATGTGAAAATTCGAACAAATGCTCGGGATATATGGGTTTATTCATTAAGCACGCTCTCCCTCATTTTCAGGAATGAATTATGCATATATTCAAATTTTGATTTTTGGAATTTTTAAGTGTAGTTTAAAGACGATATTTTTGTATACTTAGATACTTCATAATATTTAAAGAGTATCACGTGGTGATAAATAATCGACATTCAATCGATTTATGGAAATTTGAATAATTCTCATTTAAAAAAAAAACAAAAAATTGGTAACGCCAACAGGATACTTCTTAAATGTCGAGAACAATCCAAGTATATGAAAATATCGCCTTTAACTACACTTAACATTTCCAAAATCAGAATTTGTTTATAAACATAATTTACCCTCAAAAATAGGTGGTCAAGCTTAATGAATCACTCCGTATAAAGTTATGGTCGTCGAGAGCTTTTTTTCGTGTGTGTTAAAGAGGCAGTATGAATGTATGTTATATATTTACAAAAAAGTCATAAAAATAGAGCTACATTGGTTTTTTGACTTACTCGTAGTACTCGGAGAACTTAAGGAATCTTTTCGCACCCACGAGCATTCGATGAGGATACTTAAATATTATTTGTTTTGGGCCGAAAATATTTTATAATTTAACCGGTGTCAGTGCCCTTAACAACGAAGGCGAGAAAAAGAGAGACCAATCGTTTTTTTTTTTTTTTTCGTACCTACACACCGCGCGTTGCCGTAATGACGAGACGCACGTTATCAAAAATAGGTATTTCCTCATTTGCATGCCGATTCGCAGAGATTAATGGCTTCGGTTCGACGTACATTATAATGATATTATTATAAAATAGAAGCGCGTTTTCCTCGCCATCGGGTGAAATCTGTTTATAATGATAAAATCCATTAAACTGAATATTGCGTGTACGCGATCGGATTTACGAGCGATATTTTATTTCACGACCGTATGGTATACATCTCGCATAATGCCGCGAAAATTTTTAGTTTAGATCCTGAGTGTAATGAAGAAGCTATCATATTATTATTAAGACGCAGTGGCGTGTTTATATGCAGCATTTTCATAATATGAGAGTAGGAACTGAATATAACTAGTAGGTATAAAATCATTAAACATATTATTATTAAGTAGACATTGGTACAATCATTGGTGAGTTTTTCTTTAAACAATACATTTGTTACTTATAGGGCCCGGATTTAAATTCACTTAAGGTCCATTAAAAAGGCAAAAAAGTACTAAAAAATCCCTTAAAAAATATTTTTTTAACGATTTTTCAATGCTACACAAATTACCGGGCCCTAATTATTACAAATAATACAATATTAATTAAAATACATTCATTAATTTAAGCATAATTAGTTATTTCGGGGGAAAAATGTCCCTGTCTCCGTAAGTAAACCCTTGTTAAGATATGTCTGTTTTTTTATTTTTTGGTGAGTAAAAGTTTCTCAATTTTCATACCTAAGTAATAAGTTATAGTATATTGTTTTGTTTTTTTTGAATCTCAACACACTATTTGGTTAGTAAAAATATTATAAAATGTTCATAATATCGTACCTTCAATGATACAGGTTTTTTGCCAAATGGTACTATATTTGAAAAAAATGTCTAAGTTGTTTACAGTTTTTTTTTTATTATTATTATTATTTAATTTTAAAAAACCCGACATACATTTTATTTTTATTCATTTCGGAGGTACAAGGCCTTTGCCGTAAGTACTACATTCATACGACTACTACGCACAGAAAAATTTTTTGATTACAATGATTTATTATTCCTTTCATTGTTCAAATTAAATTTCCTCGTATTCCATGTCTCTCGAACTTTCGACGGGACTCCCCGTTTAAGGAGGAGACTTTTCAAAAATATACCCCATATAGTTAACATGCACAGCTGAGTTAACGAAAATTTAACGATAGATAATAAAAATTGTATTTTTTTACCTTACTACGTTTGATTTTAATTTATTTATTTAAGTTAGAATATTAACCAAGGAAATAGGAATCGTTAATATATATAATGGAAAAAAAAATTAAATAAAAATCCAGTACAAAAAGATTTGTCTACGAGGCCATTATTTTTTGTTTTTTTTTTTTTTTTCTATTAGAATAATATTTTTCACGGTACAGTATAGTCATTGAAGAATATAAATTGTTTATCGAAATATTATTGTGTTTATAATATATTTAATCATATATGCAGATATAAAATATATATATATTTTAGCTGTTCCGCGTCCAGCTTTGCCCGTGCCAATTTGTATTATTATTATTTTACCCATATTCATTTTTGGTATTGGCCGTGATGTCAGAATTGAATGAAAACAGATAGGTGGAAAGTGGGTAGTCCACCTTTGGCGGACTAAATGTGTTCTATTGTAAAATTTTAATAGTGTAAACAATAGTAATATTAATAATTATAATAGTTTTCTCTTCTATGGCAACCCTTGAACAAACAAAAATAAATAAATAGGCAGTTAGATAAACCACTATAAATTTGTTCACGTGAATCTTTCGTGAATTTTTTTAATAGTTATTTTGCTATTCGGGACAGAAAAGAATCCAACCAAATAAACTCGGATTATCAAATATAGTAATATTCCTGAAAAAAAATGTTTTCTAGGTGGTACTTTTAAAAGGTCATGTTTTGAAATTCTCATTAATATTAAAGATAATGAAGAAAACCTGGTTCTTTAGATTAAAAAAGATTGAAAGACTAAAAATAGGGTTGTCATTGGCAACCGTTTTTATTTATTTATTGTTATTATTAAATTTTTATTATTTTAAATCTTTTTTAAACAATCATGGTTGTCATGGAAACGACTATTGTTATAATCATTTTACCATAATGTGACATAAATATTGTTGACAAAGCAACACTATAACTGAACTTCGCTCAGAATCGTTTTTTTTCTTTAGCAATGGTTTATTAATGCTTACATCAAATGCATACATTAAATGCTTGTCAGAATCTTACGTTTCCAACATCCCACCTACAATAGTGGCTTCATCTACATGCGATTTATGTTCGTCCTATTTTTAAATAAGAAAAATTCTAGTAAAAATTGGTAAAAAAAAAAAAAGATTAATCTTATATTATATATTTTAGGGGGGGAAAGTCGCACTTAATAAATTAATAATTTTAACTATTGTTCTATTTTTTGTAATTATATGAAATGAGAGTGTTTTTTTTTACATAAAATACATAAATGATTATTTTCATATATACTTCATGCAGGATAAACAAAATACTATCGGGTTGAAAATATTTATCCATTCGAGTGGGTTAGCATACGAGTGGGATGGAATTTTTTTTAGAATGGAACTGTATTATATATAAGCACGTACCTGTATTTTTATTATTACATTTGTGTAGCACCACGACTATGTTGGAGGTATACGAGTGGATTAAAGTACTAAAACATTGTTTTAAGTGTTCGTGGAAAATTACTGAGGGAGTTTTTTAAATTTTATATTATAAAATTAAATATACACAGCGCGTTTCACTCAGATTGTAACGAAAAATATTTTATCTACATGGAATGTAGTTTTTTTTTTTTTATAGAGAAATCGGTAGTTCCGAAATAACAAATTTTTTCAAATATAAACTCCCATTTTAAATAACCGATTTGTTTAGAAGACAGACCTAATTTTTAGTCTATCTCAAAATTTGTCTAAGCTACATCCTTAGCATCCCCGAAAAAAAAAAAAAATTCAATCTGATTAAAAAAACAGTTGTTTCCATTCAGGAAAATCTAAGTTTCCCCGTGCGTCAACATTTTGAAAATAGGCTTACTACGAGTATTCCGGAAACCTTGGACTTACGTCCAGTAAGTATAGTTATTCCAGTACGAAAAAAAAAAAACAGTTTAATTCTAAGTACATCCGGTTGACGCTATTCCGTACTACTACATCTGTACATCCTCACGTTAGAGTGAAGCATATTAATAATAATGTATTTTATAAGATATAGTTGTTTCGCGCGCAGTCATTTTTTTTTTTTTTTTAAATTTGATTCAATTACTTAAAATCAAAAAAAAAAAAAAACTTTACAGTTGAAACTTTTGGTTTTTAAATATATATATATATATATATAATATATTCGTTTTGATTAATCATAATTTCGTAATTAATCATATTATTATTTCCAACGCGAAATATCGATTTAAATTTATTCGAACCCTGCCGTTATAATTGTTTAATTTGTAAATATTAATTTATGAATCTAATAATATAGCTTATCCGGGCCACAATGACGTTAATAATGCATATTAAATGAAATCCTGTTTTTTTTTTTTTTTTTTTTTGTGGCACAATATTATTAAAAAGTCGATATCAAACTACGAAGTTTTAGACTAATTTTGAATGGATTGTTTCTTGTTCCGTTATTATTTATTGATAAGTAGGCCTAACCATTATTTATTATCTTTGCTCTAGCATTATGTATGCTCTTCAGTAAGTTATAACAGGAATAAGATTATATTATAACACAGAACTTTACTGAAATATGCCAAAAAACATTCAAAAAGCAAAGAAAAATGAAAACTATTTTTTTTTTTAAATTGTTATTATTTTGTAATAATAATTTTCTGGAAATTTTTCCTCCATAATCGGTTTCCTATTTATACTTTTACTCTATCAGCATAAATTACATTTGAATAAACACCACAACAAATTTAATACACGTTTTAAATTAATAACTAATACAAAAAGACAATTTTGCATTAATATACAAATTAAAGTTATTTATTTATTTATTTATTTGAATAGTTAAATGGGTTAAATTACCCAATTAAATATAATATAGAAAAAGTGTGCACAATGATACAGATAATAATAATTGATTACATAATTCGTAATAAATATGAAAACAAACAGAACATTAAACAAAAAATTAGAATTAAACTAAATACAGGTGTTAAATTGTGATAAAATCCATGGATTAAACTCTATGTAAAAATGTAAGTTCTAATATTAACATAAATTGTTACCTAAGATATGGTTATTTAAATTTTGTTTAAAGCTATATAATGAGTGAAAAGAAAATAAGTCTATGTTTATTTATTATGTGCATAATACGATAAATCAGACTGTTCATCACATAATTAGTTCGTCGGTTAAAGACATAGAATGTAACATAATATCTGTTGTAACTATTATACAAAAAATACAAATAAAATTGTATTATAGAGAACCGACAAAGATAATATCCAAAACAGGAGCGAAAAAGAGTGGGGAACACGGAGGATATTACAACGATAACAAAGAAAACTCAACAATTTGTTTTGCACAGTTTCCAATGACGATTTATGTTTGAGAGAAAATGGAGACCATATGATAGAACAATAATTAAGAGTGGATCTGACAAAGGAAATATAAAAAAGACGAAATGCATTTGCGTTATTGAAGTTTCCACAAAAAAATTTGATAAAACCAAGCTGTTGTAAGGATTTATTTTATATATTTTACGTGCATATTAAAGGTCAATTTATTATCGAAAAAAAATGCCAAGGTCTTTAAAGTTGAGAGCTCTCTCTAAAGATTTATTATTAATATAATAGATGTAAATTATAGTATAACGGGAATGATTGAATGACATAGATTGGCACTTGCTTACATTAAGGGTAAGGTTATTTAGGATACATCAATTTACAAGCACATTTAAATCAGATTGTAAAAGATCTGCGTCAACGGGAGATTTAATAACACAGAAAGTGTAAAGATCATCTGAACATAAAAGCACATTCCAATGTAAGAAGCAGATATCATTGATGTAAATAAGTATGTAGATAGGCGCTAAATTGGAACCTTGGGTTACGCCTATAATTTGCTGAAAAGAATAAGAATAATAGTTTTTGTATTTTATGACTTGTTAACGATCGGAAAAATATAAAAAAAAGCCACGATAGTAGTGGGTTATAAATGCCAAATGATTTAAGTTTATTTTTTAAGGTGGTGTGATTAATAGTGTCAAAAGCTTTGGAAAAGTCCGTGTAGATGACGTTTAGTTAATAACCTATCTCAAAAGTATAATTTATAAACTATGTAAAAGCAAATAAACAAGTAGTTGTTAAACTAAAACTTTAAAAACCATGTTGCTCATTTACTACTTTAGAGTTAATAGAGTAGGAATAATTTGCTTAGAAACTGGATCTTCAAATAATTTAGGAATCAATGAAAGCAAAGAGATGGAATGATAATAAATTATATTAGAAGGATCAGAGCTTTTATGAACAGGGGAAACTAAACTAGACTTCCATAAATCAGAAAATGTATCAGAAGATAATTATAAATTAAGTAGGTAGTGTAGAGGGATAGTAAGGACGAATTTACTATGTTGTATAAATATGTTGGACATTAAGTCAGGGTCATCTTGGTTAATATCACAATTTTTAAATAGGGTGGTCCAATTGATTGAGTCTAAGTCATTCCAAAATAATCACCAAATTTAAAGTTATAAGATACTTTGGAAATTAAGAGAGGTAACGTGCAAAAGTTTGGACAAATAATAATGAGCGGTGGGTAGTAGGAGTCAACCTTTAGGAGAAGACTGGATTCTTTAGAGACAACAGTATTATCAATGTTTGAAATAACATACTCTAACATGATTTTGATTAGTAACAAAATTAAATTTATGTAGATTAAGGTATGATACAAAGGAATTATATTCAGTTTCGATAAGTCCTAGAGGAAAAAAATCTGGGACAAGATCTTTAGCGACAGATTGCCATCTCAATTTAGGGAAATTAAAATTACCCAACAAGAGTGATTTGGAATTTTTATACGTGGATATTAAATTCTCCACCGTCTTTAAATAAGAATTTTACCATTCAATGTTCGATAAAGGTGGAATGTATATGCTGCCGACAATAATAAAAATATTAGAAAGTTTAATCAGTACAAATACTTGTTCAACGGTCGGATTGTTAACCGATAAGAGATAAGATTTATATTCATTACTAACGATAATCAACATCCATTTAATCCACAAAGGTGACTGGTCGTTTTTTGAAATAGTAGGTACACCTATTAAGTATTTTAAAATTAAAGCATGCTCACCTTCATTTAAGACATTTTAAGATAGGTGCGTTGGTATTTAGTATGGTTAGCTGAATTATGAATAAATTTAGCCAAACATTGTGTGTAAACGTAATTTGTGTTTAGGTTTTAATACCTCGAAAACAGAGTTAGAAGATGGTAGCTCAACTTTGATTATACGCGATTTAATGTCAGGTTTACCCAAACGGAACATCTGAATAGGGGAGATGTTTAATTTAATAAAACATTAAATAATAAAAAATAAAGAATAAAGAAATAAAAAATTAAAATTTCAGCAACAGTGAAATCGTTTGAAGGGTCAGAAATATTTTTCGGTTCAGGAAAACTGAATAATAGTACATTATTCATTTGATGTTAACGCTCCTAGAACTCACCGAGGACGAATTCAGGCGACAAATTTGGCATATTAGATTATAATAATTTAACCCTATTTTTCAATAGATTCAACTCATCGGTTATAGAGGTAATTTTGGAGGAAAGTAAATCAATTTTAATATTTAATTCTGAGAAGGAAACATCATAACTATCAATTTTGTTTGGAATGCTATCAATTTTCGCACTAAGCAATTTAAGTTAGTTATTTTGATTGTTAACTGTGTTCACTAATTTGGATTGTGTAGATTTTAAGTTAGTGATTGACTTAAATATTTTATTGAGCTTACCATCAATTTTAAAATTACAATGAATATAAAATTAACTATACTTACCAGCAGTATTATACAGAACTACAGTCGAATGCAAACTATTAGTAGGTAATCGGTAAAACGGTAATAAATATACGATAATGTCGATAACGGAGCTCGGTAACGAGCACAATACAACCTAATCTAAACATTTCACTATGTCAACTTATTATTTTATATTAATAATTGTCTAGAAATGTTTACTCCGTAATCGATTTCCTATTTATACTTTTATTCTATCGACACAAATTATTGTTGAATAAACACCACGGCAATTTTGAAACAAGTTAATTTAATGCTTAGTTGTCAGTGATAACTTATCACTCAAATTTCAAAAATGTAATATATATATAAATTCAATTTTAATTTCTGATCTGAGCGAGAAATTTATTGATTTTACTAAGATGTTTATTTTTATTTTTTTTTTTGTTTTTTCTATGAACAACTTTTCTAATAGAAATTTTGGTAAACCACTTTTTCTGAAAGAAAATTTTATAAGGGTGGTACTTTAAGTTCATTTTTTGATTTTCCCATGGGTTTTCATAATAATTGAGCGAAATCGAAAATAAAAACAGGGAGAACGGAAAAATGTACAAAAATAACCCTTGTATTATTTTCAATTTTGTTTTATACTTATACTATATTTGACCTTTAGCAATAAAAATATTCATAGAAACTTGAAACTTTTGCAAAAAACTCATATTTATTTTTTCTAAAAGTGGTCAAATGGATTTTTTTTTTAAATAAGTGTTTTAAAATCAAATTTCGACGCTCATATCAAATTTCTCTCTATATCCTACATACCTAACTTCTCATTTTGTCTTTTTAATTTTAATTTTCTGTATTATGAAACAAATTTTAACGTTTTAACCTGTTAGTTTTTAATCCTTTTATGAAATAAATGTGTAAATCCTAGTAAATCCGTTCCACGTTAAAAACGAAAGCGAATTGTATACTACTATAAAACATTCTTTTTTTAAAATTTATTTGTTTTGATATTTGTATTATTGTTATTTGTACATCTGTCTATCCATGTTAAGTCGATCGCTAATATTATATCCGGCACATTAAATTATTTATTTATGTATCGATTTTTGACTATAGATACTAATACTACATATTATTAAGTGTATTAAGACACTATACTTACTATACATTAACAATACACTATGGTTGAGTATGTTTTATTTACAATATGCCCATGAAACTTTATCCTTATTCCATGTACCTATCAAAATACAAATATCAATTTTTGGTTTTTAAATTGCAAACCACATTTTTTAGGCACCATTCGAAGACTGGAAAATGAGAAGAAAAGTTAATTAAGTTCGTTTTCACGTTTAGATAATCTTAATCAATAATTGTCTGGCAAAAATTTTAAACCATTTTAGGTACATGTTATACTATTAGTGGTATGCGTTATTATGTAAAACATATTTGGAATAAAGGTAAAAAAAATAGGTTGTAAATATTGTTAATACGATAATATAAAATTTAACGATTCCGAGTGTATATAATATCTGTAATGTCTAACGAAATAAATAAAATTTACTATGGAAAAAAAACCGATGAAAAAATATCACTCCATAAATATAGAGTCTATGTTATTTAATAATATATATAGAACAAATACCGCTGTAGCGATCTGTAAGTAATAGCTACGCGTTTTAAAACGTTTCGTGTTACACGACGTGACGAAAATGTTGACTTTTATTATCGACCGGCGGCGTCAGCGAAATGATTGGCGTGACCGTTTTAATAAAATCCCAATAATTCGAACATATCGTATGAGGTCACACGCTGGGTCTTTATGAAACCCTTTCCTTTGCCGAATTACTAATACGCGCACCATATCAAATGTATAAAACAACTAGACAGCCAACTGTAAACTGGGTAAACGCGAGAAGCCTGACGGCCGTAATTTTCCCGTAGGACACATCCTAGATGTGAATTAGTTTGCTAATTGTACACAGATTTAATTTTTTTTTCACAGATAGTGATATCGTAATTAGAAAAAAAGTTTTTAAGCGAAAATTGTTTTAAAAAAAAATAAGGACATACTTCGCACGATGGATGGTTTCTACCAGAGGACTTGTTCCGATTTTTACGTGTAGCAACTTTTATGAAAGGAAATCAGTGTGGGGAGGTACCTTAAATTCATTTAGGTAATTTTTTGATTTTCTCAAAAGTTTTCTCATCAAATGCGAAAAACCGAAAAAAATATAGGAAAGCCGGGGAAATCGGTACAAAATTAAACAAATATTATTAAAGAAAATATATAGAGCCTATTTAATTATTTTGCTGTAGTATGGCATATATATTGTTGACGAAATATCACTATCAACTGAATTCCGCTCAGAATCGCTTTTTCGTAAGTAATGGTTTATATCATTGCTTACCTATACCTATTAAATTACTTATACCAGTGGCTGCATCCGTCCCCATTATTTTAGGAATTCTTTTTTCTATTGAATTTGGCCTCGAAATATAGACTTATTGGATTTCGAAAGTGGTCGAATGGAGAGATAAGATAAGTATAGATAACGTGATGTAGTGTTTACTAAAACTGACAAAGAGTAAAGGCGAAAAGAAGAATAAGAAAGTCGCTGTACACTCAATGTGTATATAGGTCTTATAAACCTTTTAAAATAATGAATTGGTTTTACTATATTTGACCTGGTACACACAGTACGCACGTGTATATCAAAAAACTAAAATTAGATTTTGGATAATATTACAAAAAAAAAAAAAAGAAATAAACTGCCATTTTTTTTTTATAAAGGTGACGTTAAACCCCTGACGAGTAAATGTAGCCAAAATAATGTATTTTGAAGTTCGATCTGATTGATGGGAATATAAATCTATATTATACATATATATTATTTTATTTGTATCTGATATTTGGATGCTATAAAATCGCAACAGTTTTGCAAGAATAAGAAACGAGAAACTTTTTCCAATATAATAATACGCTTTACAACTATTGACTTTATCTCGACTCGCTGTATCGACTGTGGATTGTATCTAAACGATACCTATATGGCCATATACCTATATACTCGTATTACGAGGTGTTATAGAAAATTGAAAAACCGACAGATATCCCCAGTGAACAATGTTGATTAAATTAAAACTGATAGTAAATAAATGCTATAAGGCATTTATGTGTTATCAGTTAGCCGAAAATCCAGTATGAAAGTATTTTTAGCTTAAACAAAAAGCTATTGTACAATCATAAAAATAAAATCGTTCCTCCTTGCATAGTTATAATTTAAAGAGTATAGTGATTTACCGTAAACTTGCGCGTATTCGCGATTGGGTGGGGGATGGATAAATCTTCCTCCCACGACCTTTTTTTTTCAACAACAAATAACGGGAATTAATGTATCATTACCTACATTGTTATTTCACAAATCGTCATTATCACTCATTGTCATTTTTTTGCCTCACAACACGGCGGTAGGTATATTACCGAAACGCAAATGGCCTCGGCACTACGTGTAAAATAAGTACTGTTGACTAATTTAAACTGGGCGATTTGCCACTTATTTAATAATGATAAAAATATTGATTTTCGAAATAACTAATACCCGGTGACAATCCATATTGAAAAAAACTAATTGAAACTACTTAATTGAATAATATGTTAGAAACAATTATCAGTATTGTAATTTTTTTAAAATCACCAGAACTAAATGATTAATACAAAAGGTATTATTTTGGATTATCATTGCACACATATTTTTCTTATCTGTAACAATAAAACAATTATGCCATTATATTGATATCATTTTACACAATATCACCAATATGAATACTTAAGCATTCCAACTATTTTTTCAGTAATAAAATTAGATTGGATATTACCAACAGGTAATCAATGAAAAAATATATGCAATATATGTACAGGGCGGTTAGGTGATAGCTAGTAATCATGGAGTGAAATACAGGTACCTTAATAAATTAATTGAGATAAAAAAATGTCTACTACTGTATAATGTCAAATATTTTAATTTGAAACTCTACAATATGTAGAGCTTTACAATATTGCATACATAAATTCATATATATTGATACATTTTTAATAAGAAATATTTATTATTTTGAATTATCATATAAGGTTTTTAATTTTTATTTTTTTTTTGGTTTAAGTTATAGCCCAGATTTTTAACTATCTACGATATTATAGTCAATTAAAAACAGGTTTTAAATCCACATTACGAAATTAGAGGATATTTAAATGTTTGTACTATTATTATATTTCGGGGAAATTAAGGGAAATCTGTTTTTTTATATGAATGGAACTGCATTTTTTTTTTTTTTTTTGTACGAAGATTGAAAGCAGTGATTTCATGAATTTTGTATACACACTACACCTCATAGCAATTATTTAAACGTGTTTTATTTTTAAATTACCTACCGATTGATCAATAACTGAAGCGATAAGAATTTTTGAAACATGTTTATTGATTTTTCTGCCTACTTCAGGTCGAATTTTCTAAATTGTTGGTATGTTTTTTTTTCAAAAATTGAAATATAGATAACATTATAATATCGAGCTAGGCGTGGTGGATAAAGAAATAGATAGATAGGTACCCAAATGTTTCTGTGTCTGTTTCAATACTGATCATAAATTAATGTTATTTCTTTTCGCCTATCAGATGTAATTGTTTTAATAATAATATATTGAGTAAACATATTTTTAAAAATAATTTTAATGCAATAAATAAATAATAAGTTCTGAATATTTTTCTTTTTATAGATTCTTTATTGTTTTCTTCTACTACGATAAGAATCAAACTATAAAAAATATGAAATAAATTCATTAAACCAGATTCTATAGGTATCTGTTCAGTAAGAATTATTATTTATGTTCTTAAAATATATTATTTCCCCGAGTTTTGCGGATTTTTGGCGGATTAGATACTTGCAGCAGTAATATCAAATTATAATATGATAATAATAACGTCTTATAATTTGCATACAATATTATTTTATTGTATTAGCAAATGATTTTTCATAACTCAGTTCATTGAAACAGCTAATGTCATTGCTTTATCGTTGATAGTTCCGAATGGATTTAAATTTAATTAGGTACCCGAACAACATTAAGTAATCCGTTTGGTTCGTATTTATTTGAAAATAAATACCTCTTAAGCATTAACGTTTGTTTTACAGACAAAGTTACCCACGCGTTTGGTTTGATACGCCCTCGTGTCGCTTTTGATTTATTTTATTTTACTTCACTATGGCCACTATAAATATACCGAAATCAAAATACATGACACCAAAATCAATGATGTATTTTATGAAACAAACAGATAGGTACTCGTAAATATTTTAAAAGAACAAACAGTATAATATAGCCGTAAGTATAAAAATAGTGCGAGTATTGTGTATAAACAAGTTGAAATGAAATATTATAATGACTTACCTTGTGACTACAAGATAAAAATAAGATGAAAATTAATTTAATTCATTTTAAAATTTGAATATGCCGTACAAGTAAAAAGCTGAATTTCTTATTTTTAACTATTTTCCTCGTATATTCGTCCTCAACATATCGAAAATTTACTATCACAGACCGCCCTTGAAGTTGATGAAACAAGTCATGTGGTTGAAAACCGGTCTACAAATAGACAAATAAAAGAAGGTATTTCTTCAAAATTCATAAAAATACGGTATTATCAGTGAATATTATTTCACATGCGTCATGGAATTCAAAATGAACTCTTTAACATGTCCCACATTGGGTGTCCTACTTATACAGTTACTTCTAATGACTCATTTGAATAATGCGATAACGTTGACAAACAGTAATGGGTTTTTTCATAATTCTGGAGACTTTATTGGATTCTCACCAAGACGCTGATAGTTTGAGTACTGAAATAATAAAAAAGTAAAGAAAGACTGCAGTGCATTATTCACTGTTAATCGCGTTGATCTGCATAATATTCTCGTCTAACTAAATCCCATTAATCTGGATTTTTTTCGAATCTACTGTTTTTATCTCTTTTTTTATGATTACTTTTTTTTTTCTGTATGTACAAATAAATGATGGCCATTTCTCACGGTACGTTCAAAATTAAAATATCTTGCTAAAATTAATTTATAGCCATCGTAACTTACGGGCGTTACCGCAAGCCACAAAGCAACCAGCCGATGTCAGTTATTACAACCGTTAGCCAACAATGTAGTGTAGCCACACTACAAAATTAATTAGACACTTAAAAATTGAATATTGTTTTATTTATCACTAGTTTCAGAAATTTATCATAAAAAATCTTATTTTCATTGTTGAAATATCGTTTGCTTCAAATCCAATTAATTTTCGTAATTTCATGTTTTATTGTTACTACTAAATTATGGTTAAAATTATATAATTGTTTAGTCCTTTACCCAGTCACCATCTTGTAATCCTTTTTTTTTTTTGTAAATTTATTTTTGCTCATATTGTTTATTAACAAATTTAAATTTTTTAAAAAAAAAGTTTAGAGAACAATATTTATTTGCAAAAAAAAAAATTTCCATCATAATTAATTACTTAAACTGAAATTTGAGGTAGTTGTTGTTAAACGATTCATAAATAAACTGTGTTTGTTTATAACTAGGTAGTATTTTATTATTGTATGATGCTCTCTCAGTGCAAACGATTGAATTTGATTTTATAACACTATAAAATACGTTGCATTACACTAATATTACCATGGGAATACATTTACATTAATTATGAACTATCATTTCAGTGGAAACCTAAAATAATAACCGTTTGATGTATTAAACATATTATTTATAATTTAGAAAAAAAATACTCTAATTTGAGTTTTTTTTATTTATTGAAGAGTTAAAGAGTATTGCTCGAGGGAAAAGAGCTTTTCAAAATAAAAATCACTTTTTAACCACGAACAGCATTAATATCAATGCTATAAAACACTTGTTGAAAATATGGAGTGTGTGGAATTATATGTGTTTAAATAAAGGACATTGAGCACAATCGAGATTACAAAGCTAGAACATTTGAAATGAGGTTTTATTGTAATATTTTCACGATTTCACGGTATGACAGAGTAAAAAATAAATAACAAAATAAAAATAATTAAAAGGAAGCCAACTAAACGAACGATTGATGACTATAATAATAATAACAAGATTTAAGAGTAAACCATGCAAATGAATTATACACCAACGAAGTAGTACACGTGTCTTTTAATAGAAATTAAATTTACTCAAATTGAATTCAGTAATGCTGACGTAAAAATATCACAGAAAATGAATCGGCTTGTCAAATACAGTTTTTAAATGATAATATTATAGATAGAAATAAGTGACAAATAAATAAAATACGATTTATTAAAATGGGAAGAACCGGAATAAAGCGGGTGGCGAACTTGGGGTATAAGTTAAGTGATTTAATCGTATATAGATAGAATTTCTATTATAATAGGTGGGTACTACGTTGAGCCGTGAATACTGTAATATTATAGGAATATGAAGGGAGGAAATTAATTATTATAACGTATTCGATTTAACGACCAAGACATGTAAAAGACATAGTAATGTATTTGAGCCCGATTTATACTCGGAGACAAAACCGTCGGTGAAAATAATGGGTATGTAGTGGCTACAATAGAACGAAAAGTTATTATTAATATAAAGTCATTAGATTGGCCATCGTTAACCAAACTATACATACGGCGACGAGTAAAAGCGTATATAATTGTAGATAGCACGCGAAAGCCCGGGGGGAGATGATTAAGGTTAATGATAGCCAGAATATATAGCGGTATATGTAGGTATTGTATTTATAAGAACTCCGGTAAGGTGCGCCGGGGACCGAAAGTTCTTTACGTAAATGTAAAATGTTATAAGAACTGCATTAGACCTCGGAGCGGAATGTGTTTATGATTTTAATGACGGAGGTTTGGGTGAAAATTACGTATGTAAACCTATTCAAACAAAGATGGCAAAAAAAAAAGGAACTTTAAAACTCACAATATTATTTGGATTATTATTTTTCTTGTTTTTAGCTAGGCTGTTCCAAAGTTTTCTTCATATAATACCCTATCTACATACAGTCCATACAGATGACCATTTCTCAATAAATTTACACATCCAATAAAATGCCGCCAATCGTTTACTTACTCGGATTTCATAAATAACACACATACATTGTACGAGGTGATTTTGATTTGTTTTAGTGATTTTATGTTATTTTTTTCAATCATTGTGGATTTCTTCGATATTTATTTTAGCTTTTATTTATACTGTTTTTCATACATAGGCGAGTATTAATTTTTCAATTAAAACTTTCTCCTTTTAACACAAATTTGAAAAAGTACATTTCGATAACTTCAAGGCCAAATATAATAAGTCCACTTTTTTAAAAATTAATTTTATATTTACAATCAAGAAGTGTCCGCAATTATTAGAAGTGTTCATTTTTACACAATAATATTTTGGCATTTTACGAGCTGATTATACTTTTAAATACACAACAATTGTAAGTCCAAAAAAATAAATGTGACTTACAGTTATTTTAAATAGATATACAATATTAACACTGGTGCTTATTTTAAGCGGACAAATGTAATATGTCCGAACATACACTATTTGGAAAAACTGATAAAACTTTAAATGGATCTCTAAACATTTTGATATTTGTGACGCACTATATTTGGTCATTGAATTTTGTTTAAACAAACTTTGTTATTCATAAAACTAATATCGGATATGTCATAAGAGGAATAATAATTTAAAATTTAGATCGGATCATTGAGGAGGAGTGATAAATGTCACCTAATTTTTGATTTTTTTATTCCAGACGATAACGTTCGTGTCAGTATGTAACCAGCGTTGCGTGTGTCTTTTCAAACTCAGGTTAAGGTGTACTTATGACCGATGTCAGAAATATTTTATACAATAATTTTTATAAGTATATTGATTGTTGAAACTTTTAGTTAATTTTACAAGTTTAACTGGTGTGAAGGTGTAAGCAGTTCATAGATCAATAAACGTCTAAAAATGATGACTTTTTTTTGTAACTTGTAAAAAACAGTTATTTATATAACATAATATATATATATATATATTATTTTATTGTCAATAAGATGATTCATAATTGGGCTATAACTCATTTCACATATCATATCACATGCAATTTACGTAGTTATGTCACACATTTTCAGGGAGTGGTACAATAAGTGTTTAATTTTGAAAATAATCTAAATAATATACTATTAAACGAATCGTTTCTAAAAACAAAAAACCAAAAACAATATTTTACTTTAAATCGTCGTAAATAATCGCTGAATCATGAAAAAAATAAGGTAGGTAGTTGGTTATGGCGATAAAATAATATTATTTATTTTTGGTTACTATGCGTTGATATCGTGAAAAATGATCTCGTAAAATGTAAAGGTACATTTCGACTCGTGAAACTAAAAAAAAAAAATAAAACCTGTTTTGATAGTTATAATATCTAGCTTATATTACCCTAGTGGTTCTCAACCTTTATTTATAACACCACACACCCATTTAATATCAAAATCAACCACGACATAGTTCACATAAGCAAAATAATAGTAATATAATATAATGTAAAATAGTAATAAACCGTATAATGTAATTTTGCATTACTATTATTTGTCAATCTACGGAAGATTAATTGTATTTCATGAACCAGTCTGCCGTAAGTCTTTGTTGTTTTTAGATTCTAAGCGGAATGAGAAGTGTCTAAGATTTCCTAAAACGTGTGCTTCTTTAATTTTATTTTTTGTATCCGTCAAAAAACATTTATATCAGAAATCTTACTTCAATCAAAAAATTACAAGAACCTTCTTAGGTTGTATTGCGATCATTTGTTTGATTTTTTTTTGCAGTTTTACTAAAAATTTGGAAAAACCGAGAGATAGTTGATAAAATAAGGAAATGTACAGATTCATTATTTTTGATTTGTATTATTTTTGTCTGAATTCAGTTGAAAATAATTGTAGAGGTCTAAAATTTTCAAAAAATACTTATATTTATCACTAAAGTAAAATCATCAAAATATTCTTGCGATTTTTAAGCTCTTTATAATCATTTTAAATTGTCTAATCATGGCATTTCACGTAAAATAACGCGCAGGTGTAATAAATTTAACTGCAACTATAGTTGCATTCTATATAGGGGCACTACAGAGGGTAATTTGGGAAGCACTGTTGTTTTATAACTAGGTTTAAAAATCAGAATTTAATTTAAATCTTAAAAATCACGTTATTTCAAAACATGTTTAATCATCTTCGCTCAGAATCGTACTTAGTTAGCAATCATTTATAAATTAAATAATTTTAGGAATCGTTCATAACTACATATCTACAACAGCATATCAGCTGTACTAGCAATTTTTTTCTTTTATAATCGGGAGATTTCTTTACTAGAGTCATCTCGATAATTTCAATCTAGCCAAGAACAAAAAGTATTAACAATGACGTAGGTACACAAAAAAAAAAAAAAAAATCAAATCTATTTTTATAGAAACACAGATTATTGGAATATAATATTATTTCGAGTAGACCTCTAAAAATAATACATTAAACAGACAGTGAAAAGCTTTAAACTATTAAGATGTATCTATAATAAGTGTGAATGGACCAAATATATAAATAAAAGAAGCTTAGCATCACAAAATATTGTTTATATACACTTTATATGTACTTAATTAAATTTGATTTGAGGAACATGGGTGCATTTTTGGAGGCCAAGCCCCTTTAAGCACCTCTTTTTATTTGAAACTATGGATGCATCTTAATTTTGGTAAGTTATATTTACGAGAAATTGGCATCTATATTTTTGTCGACAATTTCGTTTATGTAGAAATTTTTTTAAATAATTAATAAATTTGCTTTTTTTAGTATTGTTTTTTGTTGATAGAAAATTTCAATATCAATTTCTGGAAATAATCTTAATACAATTAATATAATTACAGGATATGAATCCGCTAGTTCAAAAACCATACATAGTTTTAAAACTTTTGGAAATATTATCAGGTATAAACTTTTGGAATTTGGGTGCGTACAATTTTTAGTAAAAACAATAATTAAAAAAATTAATTTGAAAAAAAAAACGATATTAGAGCGTATACTACTATATATATTATATAACGTTTGAAATATGTGCTCTTGGGCAGATCTTTATCGCCTTTGCCGCAGTTTAGTGAGCTTTGACCGTCACATAAATTTTGCCGCTATCCGAATTCCGAATTCGGTCATTATTCGGTGTATTTTCGAGCCCATTTTGGCTTCAGTCCATGTGCTTTCCCAATTTTGGTTGCTGGCTATCTTTTACTATAACATAATATTATTGTATGTTGTGTCTTTTTAGTTGAAATGTATACATATACAGGGCCCGCAAAACCCTATATATTAAATAACACGTAATAACAATAATAAAAGCGTATTATATTATACGATATGTACCAATAGTTTATTTTTGGAGAAGATAAAAAAATTCCATACAAAGTCCAAATAAAAGAACGGTGAAAAACCTGTACCTCGATGTAAGAGAGCTTATAAGACTTACCAAAGTTTATGTTTTTATTATTATTATTTTTTAGGGGCCTTTTTAGTATATAAAGCAGCTAAAAATGTTTAACCTGGGCTCACTAGTTTTTAACAATGTATTACTATTAACCTATATATTATTATCATTATTTTATCTGGACAAAAATTCAAAACCTACCGATAAAAACAGTCTAGAAGTATCTGCAATAGGAAATAAATCGCTAAAGGTTCTTGTGATACTGTAGTAGTTAAATTTGTGATTGCAAAAACGTTATTGTTGATCAATATTGACTTATTCAAGAAGTAGAAAGTTATAGAAATTGTAAATTTTTCGTATTCGTTTTGAACTTACGAAGATTGAAAAAATAATCCTGTTCAGAAGTATTGTACATTGTATAAAACAATAAAATTGTATCAAAACAGAGACCTTATATTTAGAGCCACGATTTCAAGAAAGTTTTCGTCTTTGATAAATCGCACGACGATAGGTCGGTTTTGGAAAACCAATTTTAGCTACAGTTAGGTGTTGTCCTATCATCATCGACCATGTCCTGGATGCTGCCAAATCTTATACGCAGCTAACGGAGAGAAGAGATCCGAATTTCGAGACGTTGTCGAGATAAGCGGATCGCGAGTGGCGTTTATTTTTTTTCCCCTTGACACCCGTCAAAGAGCCCCGGTGAATGAGCGCGAGCTTGTCAAAATGAGAGGCCGTGCGTATCAATCATTTTGACGGTTAATATCCGAATACTGCCGTTGCCGAGCCAAAATGACGACATATACATTATACAACTATAAACAGCGGTTGTGCATGTTATCATGTCTTAGCGTCACCAGGAGGTAAATTATAAGAAAACTGAAAAAAAAAATATACGTCTTTGTTAAGCTCGAGAGCGGATCGTAGTTGGTATTAACCGAAAGCAACCGTGGTATCAAGCCGATGTGAATAATTTGAGTCCAAGGCGACGTCATCCCGATGCTGGAGGAAAATGGGGCTGGACCGAAACAAGTTAATTAACATTTAGATATCGCTACATTCTAACCAATATGATTGTAACAGTAAAGTTTAATTGATAATAATCAATATTTCGCAAAATAAAATATTACCTAGATTCCTATATAGTACACAATACAAAATCTCAATTTGCATACATTTTAACTAATTAATCATAAAATAATAAAAAATAAATATGCCCGTGCAGCAAGCCGTGCAGAACGTATTTTTCTCTGTACCTACTATAAACAAAAAAATATAAAAAGCCAAATTCATATGGCATAAATTATATTTTATAGATTACAGTCAGTTATCTAATTCTTTTGTATATATTTATATTTTGATAAAAGCTGTAGATAATAGATGACAGAGAATGCAATATTCGCGTCAAGAATAGTGTTGAATAGAAGAGTAGTACGAAGAGAATACTGCGAACCAATCCTTAGATTATAAAAACTGCATGAGAAAAATAATGTATTCGCGATCGCGTTGAAATCTGTCTGTCCTCAGCGGAGGGTGACCGTGCGAGGAGGTGCAATAAGAACACGTGGCATGGTTAAACCATACAAGTGGTATTGTTTTCGGCGGCGACGGATCGGTAGAAAATACATTGGCGTAATACGTATTATTCGGAAAATAGAAATTATTAATAACCTCGCAGTCGTCGCAGGGATACGTCCCCGTGTAGGTTTTCGTCGTGGTTTCGGTTTATAGCGGTGAACGGCGGAGAGATGGAGAAAGACGTGTATGGGATTTTCGCCTCAACGATAGTGCCGAATGATGAATGGACAGCTGATGCCGTATGTCTGCAAATATCATCGTTTCCCCTCTTCCCGTTGATTAATTAACCGACGTTAAAACTACTCGTATATTATATTTATGTATTTGGTAAATTTTTTTTTTTGGATGGGAGGCATTGTCGTTTCGCCTCTTCAACCCTGGATCGGATATTCTATTGTTCAGAAATGAACGCGTTTGTTATAATATATAACGTCGTCGTAGTCGTACATAAATCTATAGATAATAATATTATTCTTTTATAAAAAAGAATGGGTTGAAGTTTATCAAATGGGAATAATAAACGGGACTAGAACGGCTTTTCCAGTTTCCAAATTTAATGGCAAGTACTTATAAGTATCTACTACTGACTATTCGTATACTCGGTATACTCGGGCAGTCCAGCACTCGGCACATAATTTAGAGATGCGTTTTTATACGTGTTAATGTTACAATATGATGCGTATATTATAATATATAATAGAAAATAGTAAAAATAAGTTATTATATTAAGAAGTATAGTTTGATTAGATAAGGTAGATTATTACACAGCAAAAATAAAACAGACATTGACAGAACGGAAATTCGAATGGTCTCAAAATTGAATTAAATTTGTGGAACACAGAAACCCTCGAAGAACGGACATTTTCTTCAGTCACTTAGAGTTCCGTTTTTCGTCATCACCTGTACTTCATCATAATGATTTAAAACAATACCAAATAGTTTTTTTTTATTTCGTTTATCATTTAGTCGTTAACTAAATTAACGTAACTCCGATAAAAGTTTTCGTGCCAACATGCTCGTCAAATGAAAAGTTTTAACAAATTAAATACAATTAATACATTTAAATAAAAATGTTTTAGTTTTAAACCATGATATATTTTTTTTCCAGTTGGCATTAAAAGATATATGCATGATTTATTAGTATTATTTTTATTCGTCGTAGGTCGTTTGTATTTAACTCGTAAAATATTACGAGTTTATTTTGTCTTATGCAAAAAAAAAAATAACTGTATGCTAATAAAATTGAAATTATGAAAGAAATGTGAGATAGAAGTAATTTTTTTTCCAACATGATATTATCGTTAATGTGTATTTTTTACCTTATATCGTTAAACCGTACAACATAAATCTATATATATATAAAATCCAAATACCAATGACTCACTGACCGCTGTATTTGGAAAAATTACTCAACGTATGCAGTTTAAATTTGGAATAGTGATTCCTCTAATACTTTCACCGTATAATAAGAAAATATTTTTAAAAATTCCACCTCTAAGGGTGTAAAATAAGGGTTTTTAGGTATATTTGGTACGATTATCTAAATGCTTATTTATTTTTGTTTATTCAAGGGTTATCTCGGTGTTGTTACATACCAATCTCATGATTTAATACAAAAGAAAACCTCGGTGTTACGGTAAAGAAAACTGCTATAGTAATTATTATTATTATTAAAATTTCACAATAGTATACATTTAGTCCGCCAAAGGTGGACTACCCGCTTTCCACCAACTTGTTTTCATTTAATTCTGATACAGCCGAAACCAAAAATTAATATGGGTAAAATAATAATAGTAAAAATTGGCACAGGCAACGCCACTAGTATATTACTATATTGTCTATTGTTATTATAAAAAATATTACATTGTATTATTATTTACGCCGTGATACAAATTATTATTATGTTATAATAAATCAAAACTTGTGATAGTATATGAAACTTCGAACAAACATTTTAATCGCACAATTATTATGTCGTTTCTCAACAAAACTAAATAAATAAGAGATTTTTTTTTAATATTATACTCATAATATAATGTGCACTTTTCAAAAAGTTAACTGAATGAAAAGTTAACAAAACAATAAAAGAAAAACTTAACAAAGTTCCTATATAAATATCTATAAATTTAATCTGACCGTGACAAAAAAAATCACAGTCAACGTAAAATAATTATTTACGTATTTAGAGGATAATTATAAGTTTACAGTAAAGTAAATCGGATAAGTGCACACAGTAAACTTTTGCTGATTGTAAAATTATTTTGATGATAACCCGAACTGCTGCTTTTTTTTAACACTCAAAAATAATAAAAATAAACTATTTTTAAATCATTATAATGTATGAAGTTACATTGACAATTTCAGAAAACATTTTTCTCCAAGATATAAAATCGAAAACAGAATTTAACATTTATAAATTAAAAGTAAAACTATTTGTTACAATATAATTTTAGCGAATATTTTGAATTTTATATTTTAATCAGTAATCAAAAGAGATAACGGGATTTCAGCCCAGCCCAAAAAAATTAATATAAACTATTCAGCAATAAAACCTTATTATTTCTCAAAAAACAATAATCATTCCACATAGCAGCGTATAAGTCATATAGTTTTATATCTCAGAAGACAATGGGCCACTCCCTGCATTAAGGTAATCGGCCGGTGGCCAGGTTTCAATGCTTATTTATTTTTATTTTTATATTTGTATGTATACAAGTTTTCCTTTGAGTTCATGAATAGAAAACATGTTCAAGTCATCAAATTCAATGGTTTCTGATTGCAAATTTCGTTTAGTTGGTGCATTAAAGTGATCCCTTTTTTACCTTGAATTTTTCTTAACATTAGGGGAAAACAAGAGAAAAAAACCGGATTAACTGGAATATTATGGTGTTTTTCTATTACCAAGAAACGTTTTTTGTTGCATTTTGAAACTAGTAGCTTACGATTTATGCCATTTTTTCGTTTTCTAAATGGCTTACATTATTATTGGAAAAAGCCATTGCTAACGAAAAAACGATTCTGACCGAAGTTCAGTTAATAGTGTTGCTTTTTCAACAATATATGTGTCATATTATGGTAAAATGATTATAACAATAATCATTTCCATGACAACAATGATTGTTTAAAAAAGATTTAAAATAATAGAAACTTAATAATAACAACAAATAAATAAAAATGGTTGCCAATGGCAACCTTATTTTTAGTCTTTCAATCTTTTTTAACCTAAAGAACCAGGATTTCTTTATTATCTTGAATATTAATGCGAATTTCAAAAAATGACCTTTTTAAAGTACCACACAGAGAAAATTTCCTTTCAGAAAAGCTACTACATTTAATAATCCGAGTATGCTTTCTAGTTGAAAGTGAAAAAAATTAAAAATAAACATCATTGTAAAACTAATACTTTTCTCGCTCAACTGAGAATCTAAAATTTAAAAAAGATTTATAAAAATGGACAAGTGTATAACATTAATTACTTCGTTATTTAAAATTTGTATTAATTATTTTTTCTACCAGAGATATTAATTCAATCAAAAAACGACAAAAGATTTGATTTATTGAATTTTCAAGTTAGATGGTGAGTAAGAACATTGTTTTTTGATTTTCCTGTAATTTTTTTAATAATTGAGCAAAACCGAAAAAAAAAACAGACAGAACGGGGATATTTACGAAAAAAATGCTTTTAATATTTTCAATTTTTATTTGTTGTCATTTAGTTCAAAATATTTATAGAGACTTGCAATTTTGAGATAATTTTGAGCCATTAATAGTCATTTTAATTTTGCGAATGTTTTACGTAATTTAAATTGGTAGGTACTCTGTATATAAACTGTTCGAGTTAATAGAAATGGTTGAATTTTGACTGGAGAGTGATAGAAAGTCACACTTTGTGGTCAAAGAAAAAAATTCGAGCTTAATATAGTATTTATTTTATTAAGGAATTTCAATATCGAATTTTGACGGAAATTGTTTCAAACATAAGTAGGTATTATATATTTGTGTTATTATAGTATTTATTATACAGTATTCACAATACACTATACACTATTATAAAAAATTGTCAGAAAATATAAAATATACTAGTTTGTTTTTCTTATTATGGAATAAATTCATTTTTATCTACGTGAACCATTGAAAATTGCGAACGTTAAATAATAGGTGATCAAAATAATAATTTAAAAAACAATTTTTTTCATTACTTAGAGTTACACTTAATTCATTAAAGCGAACATTCCAAAATGTACCATAGTTTTAACTATTTTTAATTTAAAAATACTTTACAGATTCTTGAGAAATTGTTTGCTATAAATTCTCAAAAAAAAAAACAGCCTTAATTATTTATGATTAATTTCTTGGTTGAATTTTGCTAAAACACCACCAAAAAATTTAACATTAAATAACAATTCTACAACTATATTCAAAATTCTACAACTGTGTCTTAAACAAGTTAACGTAATTATATTTAAATATACTTTGGTTTATTAAACAAATTATTATATGTGTGCATACATATATACACATTTTAACATCGCTTATACTTTATACGTTATAAATTCAGCCCTATAGTGTTAGCTTAATGCTAATAATTCTATCAATACTAATTTTTTTCAATCGCATTTTGTGCGAGAGATACACACCTGTAGAGAAAAATTAAATTTTTGTATTCATCTTTTAATGATTGAAAAAATAACTTTTTATTTATAAAATTTATTTATTTTTATTTTTACAGAATTTCTAGCAAAAGGATAACACTGTAGAACACCCTGTATATAAATATTCCAATTGGTGTTAGATTGTCAAAATTGTATTTATTGTAACTCAACATTAAATAAATATTGTGCATTTAAGCGTTGTTCCTAAAAAAAAATGTCGAGCAATTAATAAAAATAATATTTACAATCCTTCTTGAAAATTGTTATTTATACAAGTTATGTTATAATGTTGAGACAAAGTAATTTATTATTAATACAAAACGTTGTGTAGTATTTTATTGTCAAGACTATTGATTTTTTATTTTTTTTTTTTCAAATGAAATATTAATTCAGAGACAAATTCATATTTAGATTTTCGTGAAATTTGCATAAAATTAATGTATACAATAATAAAATGACTCGCATAAGTAAAAATAATTGATAATTGCGTACAATTTTATATGTATAACAATCAAATTAGTATTAAATAATTTAATGTATTTATTTTTAATTATTTTAAAATCCATTTAAGAAAAAAAACTTTGCAGAATAACCCATCGGTAAAAATCTATCAATATCCTAAAATACGAATATACAGATCAATCTTTTACGTACCTATCTAAAGAAACCCTTACATATACATATTTTTTTTTTAATTACTTACAACTTTATCAATTTTTTTTTTTTTTTGTTCACTTTATTCGAAGAGTTCCACAAAGGATTTTTCGTGGAACCTACGGTGATAAAAATGTTTTTTATTTTTTTAATGTATCAATTTTATACCGAATTCGATTTTCGAAGTATATACGAAGATTAAAGGAAAACATATAAGAGTGAATGCGTACCTATACTCCTTTTTAAGCCTTATAAGTCTTCTATACTGGTTAAGTGCTTACTCTAAGCAATCGAATTTTATTTTTAGATTAGGATAAAAATAAATCGTATAAAATATTATCAGCTGTTAATTATTGTGAAACGTGTAATGCACTTTTACCTTCAATTAAAAATATGTTCAATAATTATTAAAATTATAATTGATAAAGATATTGTATAAAATAAAAATGAAAATAAAAGTTTCATTTTAACCGTCGGGTATAACGTGTAGAAATGGAATAAATCAATTAAAATGAATTTGAAAATAATCATTCAGGTGTTGGACAAATAAATTCATTAAAGTTTCGAAGATGATATTCTTAGATAATAAATATTAATAAAAATCGAGAACATTTGGAAATGGAACTAACAAAACGATTTGCGGAGTGTTTGGATGTTTCGCTATAATACAGCTTATATAAAATCGTATGTATAGAATAAAAAACCAGACTTCGATTACAAATAATATATCCGTAAATATTGATTGGTCAGTTAGGCACCCGGCTGTAATCAATTTTTTATACGCGTCAATTTACGATTGGTTATACTGAAAGTAGTGGCCAGGAACTTGGGCTGTTCAATCGAATACACATTCTATGCTATAGAATCTATAGTATTATATAATTGAATGGTCGTAAACAATAACAAACAAAACGATGTAACGATGGCCTACATAAGGTATTGTACTGAACATTAAATTTGAAAAAGAGCTAATACTAGTGACGGATGCGGCCACTAGCTGTTGTATGTCAGTGGTTAGGAAGATGGGATACATAAAGTTATTTAATTTATAGATACATGTGCAATAACAAACCATTTCTAATGAAAAACGATTCTGAGTGAAAACAAATCTTTAATAAAAGGAAAAACAAAAATCTATGTTTTAATAACAACGATTGTTTAAAGAATATTAAACTAATAAAAAATGTATAATAACAAAAAAAATAATAATAATAAAATAAAAATGGTTGCCAATGAAAACATTATTTTAATTCTTTTGATATTTTTTAACCTAAAGAGTCATTTTTTCTTCATTATCTCAAATATTAATGAGAATTTGAGAATTTTAAAAAAGTAACTTTATAAAATACCGACTAGAGTCAAAGTACAACAAAAAAGTTTCTTATCATGTTTTGGTTGGAGCTAGATTTCTCGAAAAAAAATTGTTTACAGACAAAAACAAAGACGTCCTAGGATAATGGGGTCGGACGCAGCTACTGTTATAGGTAATTTAATTTATACCTATAAGCAACTATAAAACCATAGCTTACAAAAAACCGATTCTAAGCGGAATTCAGTGAATAGAGGTTTCCCCAATTTTTCACATTTTCTGAGAAAACTCAGGAGAAAATGGAAAAACAACCTTTCTTAAGTACCTCCTCAGTGAAATTTCCTTTTAGAAAAATTGCTGTCATTAAAGGTTGGAGTAAAATTTTCTATTGTAATATAGAAAAGTTTTCCACGGGAAAAAAGAAGACCTTAATATTTTTAGCTAAAACCTACATTTTTTACATTTTCCCGTTTTTTTCGGTTTTTTAAAACTGATGAGAAAACTTTTAAGAAAATCGAAAAATTACTTCTCTTAAGTACCTACATCGATTTTCATTCAGAAAAGGTTCTACACCGTCAAAATTGGAGCAAGTCTTTTGGGAGAAAAGTTGTCCATAGAAAATAAAAATAAACATCTTTGTAAAACCATAAGCTTTTTCGCTTCACTTAGAATTTAAAAAAAATAAAAATACAGATAATATTACATTCTATAATAGTAAATCTAATAGAAACTCCACTTTACTTAGAATCTAAAAATTATGTTGCTACGTATCAACAAAAATATCTAGTGTATACAATTTCAATTAAAAATCTAAACCAGTGTTCTAAAATACGTAACCCGCAATACGGGTACATTTATTTCATACAAATATTTTATTATAATATTTTGGATTTAGTATTAAGATGGGAGTTAGAAAAAAAATAGTTGGGGGCGGGTACATCCACGGTTGTAGAGGTAAAGTTGAGAAGATGAGATACATAAAGCAATTTAATTTATATTTGTATTCAAAAATAAGCCATTGCTAACGAAAAAGGATTTCGAAAGAATTTCAGTAAGATTTATTTTTAAATGCCGTAATTTTTACGATTTTCGTCAAAATTTGATTTTACGATTTTGATGACACTTATGGAAAAAAAAAACTAACATATTAAACTTTTTTGACCACTAGGTTCAATTTATAATGTATCTTGTGTTAATTTTTCCAACATTTTTTATAAGTAATTTAATTTTACTAACAGATACCTACCAAATAAAAGTACTTATAAAATCACGAAAATATTCAATACCTATAAAATAGCCTAAAAATGACTAGAATATTATGAAAATTGTACCGTTTCTACAAAATGCTACAAAAGTATCTTGATTAATTATTACCCGAATAACCAAAATAAAAAAAAAAAAAAACCAACAATCAAACAACAACTTTCTTGCTCACAAATTCGACAACATTTACTTTCGGAAAATATGTATTTCTTACAATTTAAAATTCTGGTAAAAAAAATATAATCTTAAAAATTTTAAATAATGAAAAAGTTTCTCCGTAATTATAAAAAAATCGTATTTTTGTCTTTTTTTGGTATTTTCCATTTATTAAAAGAACTACTTTAGATATTAGAGAATGGAATTTAGTCAGTTCTTTTTCAGTAGCTAGATATTTAATAAAACAAAATCTATTTCCTGTCGTTTTTCAAACGGAGCTAGGTGTTCGAAATATTGTTTGCGAAAATTAAAATAATTAATACAAGAGTCCATGTTGATGTCAATATTAATCAATTTTAATTTTTGGTTTTCCTTATTACTTTGAAAACTGCTAAAATCCATAGATCCCTCCTTATGCTCTGAATCTATAAATCAATACATTTGTATTAAATCAAATTCATATTCAACCAAATTGTTTTAAAAGGGTATCTTGTCGTTACGAAACGACAGTCTTTCTACTACAGTACCGTATGATTTAAGGTTTATACTTAAAAATGAAAGATATAGCTTAAATATAAGAGTTACATATCTATAAATTAAGATATTCAATGTTTTTTATTTTTTAAATTGTTTGGTTTTAATCGAATAACTGCACAATTTAATTAAAATCCGATTTCACAGTCTAGGAGAGTTCATTCGATTACTCGTTAATAATTATTTTTTTCAATATAATTTTAATTTTAATTGGAGATTCTTTATTACCTTTTTTTGCCAACTATAAAGTCTTTAGACAAGTCGATTTCCGTTTCATTAAATTGAACGTTGTTGTATATATTCTGTACATTAAGTGTGATACAAAAAAATCCTTTATGCACAAAATGTTTGAATTAAAAAAAGAAAATCTGTTTTAAATTACATCTATATTGTGATTATCGAGTTTATTAATTAACGTTTCATTAGATAAATAAATTTTAATAAACTTAAACAAATAATAATTATTATTATTATTCTATGATAAAGCTCGATAATAATAATTACTGATTATATTAATAATAATTATTATAAATTATGAATAAACAAAATAAATGAAAAACTCTAAATTTAAATTATATATTTAAATTCGTTATTATTTAACCACTAGTTTATAATTAATTCTGTACAATTTATATCACGTTTTTAACAATCGGTTTGCGTGTTTGATAATCGAGGAAGCCCGTTCAAACATAAGATACAATAAAATATTAAAGTCAAAACTGGGCATTAAAGAGTTGAAAAGTTAAATTTGATCTTAATTCTTAACCTTATAATTAACTATACTTTTTTGATTTGCATCGACTTAACAAGTAACCAGTGATATTTGGGTGTTAAGTAAATTTCGATTTCTTTAAATTTTAACTTGCAATTTATAATTTAAATGCTACTATTTCAATATATTTAGGTGCCATTGTATTAATAGTAAATTTGTATTTTACTTAATAATATTTCTCAAATTCCGAGTTTAAAATAAGTGGAATTAATACCACAGGGAATCTTCATTATAGTTAATTATTTTTCAAAATCACAAATACTTATTTTAATAATTTTCATAATTTGATAATAACAAAATTGTCCAAAAAAACACATATCTTGAGTTAATAGATTAATTCAATTTTTAACATAACTTAATTTATTAGTAAAATATTTAAATTTCAACGTGATAACTCATTAACTTGTTCAATTAATTTAACTTTATTGATTAGTTATTATTATTCATTTACTTGTCCAGCCTTAAATATAAGACTTATTTTTTTTATTAGTAATTTGTAAAGGTATACAATACAGTTAAAACTTAGCAAATTTTATTGTACTGGTAATACTCGTAAGTAATCTTACCGAGTCTCTAAAAAAGTGAGACATATGGTTTATTTGTTTTAAAATTCAATAATATTGAAAGTATAATATAGGAGAAGTAAAATATATTACCCACGTGACAGTAGGAAGTTTCCTGGTTTTGAAAACAATATATCATTCATGTTAGTTAATGAATATTTAATGACATTTTCTATCATCAACCTTATTTTTCATATTATTCCCACGGAATATGAACCGAATGTATTGAGGTAATGCATGCGGTTGAGAGTTTCTCAAAAGTTAAGTCCAGAAACCATGTTTTATTATTTAACTTGAAATATTGTCAATAATTAAAACTTCTCCGTTTTTTTCAAATTAAATTCAATTTAATTTCAAAAACATATATTCGTTGTCAAATTGTAATTTATTATACATTTTTTATCCTTTTACGCATTGCAATATTTTATAATATATTAGGTGCACGCCTAGATTATGATCAATAACAAAATATTGTAGAATTATAATAAAGCAGTAAATAACGTACGCTCTCATCACGATTGAGTTTAAAACCTCCCAGAAAAAAAAAAACAAAATTTTATTTCAAAAATATATATCATTAATATAATATGTTACGTGGTAAATTATGCGCATAGCAACCGACACCGTGGTCCGCTGCCGGTAGTAGGACGTGTACATATAAAAAATATATCGTAGATAACGTATGTAACCATTGTTACCGTATTTGTGGTTTTATGGCCAACCGATAAATTATTGCATTTGGTTAATGTAGCTAAACGGTATCTGAAGGCTAGTAGGTGTGTACAACTGTATAATATGTGCATTTTTCTTTTATGGCGATATGGAGAATGTATAATATTGATCATAACTGAAATATAAAAAAAATTAATAAAATATTCGTTCTTTACCGTTTGGTTTCACTCTCAGGACAGTAATTCGTGATACCAATATAAAAGAAATGTATAGTTATTTTTGTTTTTTTTTTTTTAAATTTTTAACTAATGATTTAGTGGATATCCAAAGATATTGTAATCTATATTATATCACTTAAGAAAAATGTTGACTAATTTTACTGACCCAAAATGTTTATCAAAAATAAAAAAAAATGCTGATTAGCTGCTAGATGATGGCGTATGAAAAATTAGAAAAAGTGAAAAGGTGGGGCTAGGGACAAAACTATGTGCAACATTGTTACCTACTATAACAAATCCGTGTAAATAATATGTTAAGAATAATTATATTTTTTAACCATAACAAGCAAGTTTTTTGATTGATAAGATAATATGCCTATGTAAATAAACGTACTCCGGGATTTTGAGGAAAAAAATTCGATCACGCGACCGTTTGTTGGGGGTAAAAATCGCGGGTTAATTTGACAGGTCATGTCATTTTTCCATAAATATTAATTTAATAAACCGCGTACTGTAGGTCATAATTACCATTACAATGATTTTTTTTTTTTGAGATACGTACATATATATATACAGAGTGTAACAGGACTATTTGACATTTGTATATTATAGATACATGTAAAAATATCAAATAGTCCAGTTCCATCCTGTATAATATATACACAGTACTCCGTGATTTATACAGTACGTCTTATTAGTACTTTTTTTTTGTAGAGATTTAATCAAAAACGATATTTTTTGAGTGACTGCAATTCAGTGACATAATACTAGAGATTAGAGGCCTTTCAAATTCAAATTCAAATGGAAGCGCTTTTTAAAAAACTTAAACATCCCGAATAATCTATTACTGCTAATTCTTCCCCTCCCATTAGGCAATTGAAACACTTTTGGTCGTCAATGGTTTCATGACATTAAACAGAAAAAAAATATACAAATCATAATAATGTTATAGAAACGTAATAATGATAGTAATGATAATGACAGCTATCTATTTTTAAATCTTACGTAGACGTTGATAATAAATTATCAGTGGCATGATCAGTTACGTCACGGCTCCAACCCAATCTTTACTACTAAAACTATATTTATATAAACTATATATATTATTATAACAATATTAAAATATGTTATTAGCTATTGAGACCAGCTTTTGTTTTTATTTCAATGAATGTTTCTTTGATTTTTTGGATTAAAAACTTAGTTAATCTCTAAGATGGGTGAAGAAAAATATCTGATTGGATCTTATTAAGTATTCATAGAGATATTGAAATGTAATTCCAAGCAATATTATAAATAAGCAAATAAAAAAGAAAATGTTAATATTGTTTTTAAAAAAACATTGTAAATATTTTGTTTTTTATAATTTATTTAAGTAAATACATTATATTAGGTTTTTTTTTTACAATTTTTTTTACTTATTATCAAACATATCAAACTATTTTGGTTGTTTTATCAAATAACTGGAAAAAGTGGTAAATTAATTAAATATTATTTATATATATATATGATATAAGTAAAAAAGAATATTAACACCTTTAACATGCAATATTTTGAGGTATATTAAGATTTTAACCACCCCACCCCCTTCATACTTGATTGAGATTCAGATAGACCAATGTAAATTATATCTAATAAAATATCGTGGAAACACGGTAAAACTACTTTTTATTGCTTGTCCGTTGGCTGGCCATTTGTACTTTTTGGGTCACTCAAGGTCTTGCTTAGCCAACTTATCGGCTAGTTGATCCACTGGGCCATAGTATACATAATATTAGCAATTAGCATACTTATATTTTACATTTTACAGAACCATAATAATATAATACTATGTCATGATGTGTATACTTATTTACACGGGGGATGCAAACTCCGGGCCACAGTTATTCGGGTCGGACGGCGGCGTTTAACAAAATAACACAGAAAGGACATTTTCGTCGGGAACCGAAATCGCATAACCGAATATAACACCGCAGTACGTTTAATTAACATTTTTAACTATGTTTTAATCATATTATTGTTATTATAATATACAACATACGCATAACCACGGCACGTTTATTACACTTATTTTCTATATAACGAGAAATTATGGGAGCCTTGATTTAGTGATAAATTTAATAATGTACCGGGTGATTCATTTTAAGTGGGTATACTCATTATCTCGAAAAGTATTAATTATTTTCGGAATTTGTTTTCTAGAACATTCAAGAAACAAGCATCTTTACAATTTTATATTCATTTTAATTTTTGTTACACTTATTTTTGCGGGTAAAACCACTACCTACTTTTTATTTTCAAATGGCAACCTATATTAAAATTCCATTAATAGGAGTATTATTTAAAATACATTTTAGAGTTGAAATTTTTGATATCTGTAAAGTCATCTATGAGATATTCCATTTTTTTTTTTTTTTTTTTTTTTTTTTTTGAACATGTGTATATTACCGATTTAAGAACGATGGTGAAGTCAGAATTGAGCAGACTAAGTTTCGAAATTATAGCTTATTGAATTTCTAATATTATGCGGACATTTTATGTTATGTTATGTTATAACTAAATATTGTTTTCCCTTAAATATGTTTCTCGTAGATGAACAACCATTAATTTATACATATCTGTTTCATCCTATGGTTTGCAAGTTCGAACCCGTCTTTCAAAAAAAAAATAAAAATATTTTGCATTTTTTTTCCTTTTACCTAAACTAGAAAAAAAAACAAATGCATTTCGAGTGTTTCTAGAGACCCAAGCCATCGTTCGCTCAGATTATTTTAATTACAAAACACCCCTCGATTTTTTGTGCAAAGTTTTCTACCAGAAATCTTGCTCTGATGTATCAAGTGTTAAAGTGTAGGACCTTTTCTAAGGAAACCTTTTTTTTATCTGCATGCTACTTAAGGAAAGTCAATTTTTGATTTTCATAAAATTTTCTTAACGGTTTTCATAAAAGTTATCTGGAGAAAACCCTGATACAATTTCGGGAAAACGGGAAAATTTACGAAAATAATGTATTTATTATTCAGTTATAAATTTTATTAGTGATTAAAAACATGGACAGAAAATTTATATTTGCCTTTTCTAGACATTGAAAAATTATAAAAACATATGAGCCATTTTTGAGTTTTGCAATCTGACTGGGGTGGTACTTGGGTGGTACTTGAGGGAGGTAAGTTTTTGATTTTCTCAATAAATGGGAAAAACCGGAAAAAAGATACAATATTTTTTGCAATATTTATATACAACAACAATTATTTTTAAAGAAAATATATAATGCAAATGTATTAATTTGACCATAGTCTTACATGAATATTGTTGACAAAACAACACTATTCATCGAATTCCTCTCAGAATCATTTTTCGTTAACAATGGTTAATCTTTGAGTACAGATACACATTAATTTCCCCTCAACCTTCCTAACTTCTCACCTATAATAGTGGCCTACCCACAGAAAAAGTGCATCCGTCTTTTTTAGATTCTGAGCATAGCGAGTGAGCTATTGGTTTTACAAAGATGTTTATTTTTTTTCCATCTAGTTTGTGGACACGTTTTTTTCCTATTGAACTTGCTCCAATTTCTACGTGTAGGAATTTTTCTAAAAGCTCTAGTTCTCTAGATGATACGTTTAAATAGTCATTTTTAGATTTTCGACGCCATTTTTTAAATAAAAGTACTTAAGTGGGAAAAAACGTAGGAAAACGTACAATTTTACGATTTTATTATTTTATAAAAACACAGTTTTCTACCAGAAAAAATGATTTAATTGAAAAATCACAAGATATATTTTTGTTGTCTTTTTGATTTAATTTCTAATGGTATCATTTTAAAATCTTTTGAGCTTTTAAGAAATTCTAATTTATTTTTGTGAGTTTTTTTGCTGTAATTCGGTTTTAAATATACACAGAGACTTGAAACTTGATAATAATACTTATACTGGACTTATCTAGACGTGGTAAAATTTTCAAAATCATTGGACTGCTTTTTGTTTTATTAAGTGTTTTGAAATCAAATTTTATCGAAAATCGTAAAAAAATAAAAAATTATAACACTTCAAATTATGTGTTACCGAACTGCGCTCAGAATCGCCTTTCGTTATACAATGGTTTATCGTTGTTTACAGATAAAATTGAAATAACCTTATTTATTTAATCTTTCTAACTTTTCACCTAAAACAGTGGCCGCTCCCATTCCCAGTATCACCTCTTTTTATATTATATGTAATATATAATAGCAATATAATATATGAATCTATTAATTGAATTGTAGGTAAATTTACAAAAAAAACAAAGGGAAGTAGAGCTCCTTTACTTTTACTTACTTATACTATTTCTTATAGTAATGAAAATCTTTCTACATACTTAAATCTTCTGAGCATACTTCTAGGTAAGTATTATACGTGTACAAAACAAAAATAATTTTTACTGCGGCGTTGCTCGTGAAAATTAAATGCGCATACATTTTAAAAATAAAAATAATGATATTTTTGTATCAGTGTTACCAGGGTACCTTTGCATTTAATAATAAATTATCGTATTATCAGTTAAAAACAGAGGTCTAATCTATTGTACTATGTAAAACGAGATTCTCGTACTCTATATAGATACACTAAATAATATACACCGCGGAACTGAACTATGTTGTCATACGCACAAACGGGACGATAATAATATTGTTATCGTTGTCGTTCTGTGCTGTAAATAATAGTATTTACCGTAATGAAGGTAAGATGGGGACGAACCGGCAGCAGCCTACCACCGTTATTATTATAATGCGTAAACTTCGCGTATATTGTGTTAGGCATAACGATTCACTCGATAGGTAGGTACTGTGTGGTTGCAGCATCCGATTTGACACAATGTGGACCGCGAACAGCTCAGTCGTGCAGTACCCGGTGTTTATTTTCGTTGGCGTAACGATATAATAGGTATCGATATCGAGTAAAAATCGTTCATGTCGATAACATAATACTATTACCTGCATTTCTTAAAATGTATAGGTATCTATATACCTATCTGTTATACGTAGTGATTATTTTATCGCGATATAATAATAATATTAGTACGGATGTTTCCAGGAAATTCGATTATAGATGGTTTTCACGTATTAAACTGATTGGATTAAATGTGTATTATCTTGGTTATGAGTCGCAACGGTTTTAAAAATATGAGATGATGTTTGAAAACAAAAAGCTTTATTTAGTCTGCAGTATTGCGTTCTATCTAGCATGGTACATTTTTATCTTTTATCTTATCCAGATAAATTGGACAAATATAAGTTATCTGAGATAAATAAATAAACTATGTAGATACTTATTAGAAATAATATGTAATTTGTATTAACATAATTTATACAATTATTATTAAATTACGTCAATCACACAACTTTTTCGAAATGTCATAGTAGGAACAATTTTGTTACTTAATTCCATAATAACTAAAAAGTAAAAAAAAAATAATTCTTTTTTATCTAGATTCAAATTTCTGATTATTTATTTTAATTTTGATAATTAAATTGTTAATTACAGTATACTTATCTCTTATTGGTATCTAAACGATTATTCAAGTATTCTCTAATTGTTATCTCAACATTTGTATACAAAATTATTACACCTAAATGTGCAATTTATAAATTATAGAAAATAATAATAAATAAGTTTGAAAAACAAATAGTTAATTAGATCACTATAATGAAAATCGGTCTGGTCTAATAAAAAACGAAAAATTATAAAATCGAAATAGAATTTTCTCAAAATCTTCGTAGAGCAGAGATCAACATTTAATAGCTAATAATAAGCCGGATTGGCTGTAATATTTTATGTGCACGATAGATTATTGTGTACTCACATTTTATATTATCCGTGTTTAATCCAAAGAGATTATGTCTACATATACATATTATTTGTAATACTTTTGAGCATTATTCGTTAAAGACGCGATGAAAACATTTTACTCGGTATTTACATGCATACGAAAGCCATTGTGCCACACAAAAAAGCCGGTCGAGCCGTTCTTTACATCTCGCACAGTCACCATCACCGTTGTCGTCGTCGTCGTTGTCATAAGCTCATTTCTCGTGTATCGTTTGCGCGTCTACAAAACAAAAGGATTTTTTTACCGACATTATATCTCTTTAGTATTTCTCTCTCTTACTCATTTTTTTTTTTTTTTTACTCTTCGTCCGGTCCCTTTCTCTTTTGCCCTGTAGACATTTTTATCTTTTCACCGCGGACAATACTCTTCTTAATTTCGAGTCGTAAAAAGCTCAACGAACTATAAATCACGATCATCGCACATCCACCACCCAACTCTTAAACTGTAACATCGCCAAAACGTTTTATATAATTGTCCAACTACGGTCTCACGAAAACTCTAAGCAACGGATTTCAGTCTTGTACCCATAGGTGTAATCTGGGCTAAATTCTCGAGGGTGAGAGCAGGCTGTGATAAAACTAAAAATCGATTAGTTATGAAATATAAATTCCCCTTTTTTTCCTTCTAATATAGAAATCGGTATTATAGTTATTAATTAGTGATACTCAAAATTAAAATATTAAAACAAAAAGTGTAAAAATACAAACAGTAAAAATGTACAGAGTAGGGTACATATACTAACAACAAAACGTACGTTTTATAATTTAAAAAAAATATACATAATACTAATTATAAAATTAAAAAAAAAGGTTATAATTCCATAACAAAACGCAAATTATATTAAATAATGAAATAAATGCTTTATGCTACTATTGCAATTAGAAATTCAAGTAATCAAACTGATTAGATTACAGTCAATAGGTAACAATTGTTAGTACCATGGTTAGCGGATAGCGGTGGTATGGTGATAAGAAATAGAACATTTTGCCTGCAAAAATCATAAATTCACCACGAATTAAGATATCTTTCATTGTGATAGATAACGATAAAATTATTAAACGATATAATTGATAGGACTTGTTATTATTATCATGGATGAAAAGAGGATATTGAATGAATTGTGTGTTTTTTTTTTTTTTAATTCTGTTTGTTAAAATAAGTTTCATCGTGACTTATAACTACAGGAGGGAACAGAAAGACCCTATTTCCCCCTCGGTAAAATATTTGGCGGGCAGTTGCTCCTTCTAAGACTGGTTCATCACAGGACATAGTCATTTTAAGTGAACGTAAAATGTTTTTGGCTGCAGTCTTCTTATTAAGATTTAAATTTGAATTTAAAAAAAATGAATAAAACTATAAATTTGGATAACTATATTAACAAATTTGTTCGTAATCAACGAAAAATTATAATTTATTCCATAATTTTATCTATTATTGTACTCTTGTAAAGACATTTTTCGCTAGTATATTCGCTAAATAAATAAATAAATAATATTGAAGTATTAAGCCATGTTAAACATAATTCTGTAATGAAAATGAAATAATATTGACTTGTGTCCTTTCTTAAAAGGACAATCCAATTATTATTTGCTGCCGAATACAATAATTTAAATAGCTATAGTTTGTAAATCAAATCAACCGCTATTAATTAAAGGTTGGTTATTACATAGTTATTTACCTTGTGTGATTAAAACGAAATAAAATTTTAAAATGGAAATCAAGACTAAAAATCATCAGCCATGGTTCATTTTAAGTGTAAAATGTTAAATTAATTTAACGTTTCTGTTTGGAATATTATTTATATATTGTTAGGGCCATTTTGTCTATTGAATTTTGCATACTATTAAAGTTGTACCTATTCCGCGTTATGCTCATAAACGTTGAATATATATTATAAGCAAACAATAATAATTGTGAACAGACATTGTAAATTAAATATTTAACGTTCGGATTCAATTTATCCAACGTCTTGAGTATAAATTAAATTACTACTAACTACTAAACTGCATCAGGTACAATAAGAATATTATCCCGGCTAACCTATGTCTAGGTTAATTATTATACAAAAAAAAAAATGTAATATAAATATTTCTAAACAATTATTTGCTGTAACAATACAATAAGTAAGTAATAAGTAATCTACTTATTATTATTTTGCACGCTAATCAAAAATATCGCGAAATATACAAAAAATTACTATAACGTATAGGTACCCAATATTATTATTATTTTAATTTTTCACTTATAATGATGCGTCTGTGTCGTTTTATGTCCCACCTCAATATACATTCGTGAATACTTTTGCCATATTTAAAAAGCAATAATTTTAAAAAAGCGATTTAAACACTTTTGTCGATATGATAAAAAAAAAAATACATACTAAAAATTTGTAAATTGATTTCATTTTCAAAGTTTACTCGTTTATAAATACAATTTAGATTTGTTTTATACTTTTCATACACCTGCGACCTGCCTACTTACATTTTCAAAGTAATTCACGTGTGTACAGTAATAATAACATACTTATAGTGTATAATATATTATATTGTACCGAAAACACTTGTTTTAATTAATTTAATATTACGTATACGAGTATATAATATATATATATATATATATTTTGTCAATCAATCTCAACTCCGAAACGTTCCCCGACGAGTTGACGGTTTCAAAGATCGAATGTACATTCGAACTATACGATATTCCATCGCCACTTATGAAAGGTCAATACTCTCAGCGATTCGTTTCATAGTGTATATGCAAACCAATTTATTTTACGCGAGCGCATTTTATCATTAAATTAATTTTTATATTATAGGTTTTTTTAATTTTTTTTTCCTCCCATAAGTACTATGACATTGTATAGTTATTAACTATTTAAAAAAAAATATTGCATATTCCTGTACTGGACAATCATAAACCGAGTAAGGATGACACGGATAACATTATGTGATTGTGGCGACAACAGTACAGTGCGTGTAGTGGATGAAACTTATGATCGAAAGTTTCCAACCGACACAGTATAAATTAAATCTTAACGAATATTATTGAATGATTGATTACAAAATCTGGATATATAACTTGAGATAACGATTGCGACGCAATATTTTAAATTGATTTGTTTTTATCTAATTTTTTTTTTTTCATGTTACGTGTGTACAATGGCGTATATAGGTGGAGGGTTTCGGGGGTTCGACCCCTCTCCCCGAAATTGATGGTTGGTATAGCACATGTGCGTATTTATGAATTTATTTAAACTATGTATTAACTAGACGGACAGAAGGCGCCTAAAACGGAAATAGTGTCGTGACCTCTTGGAGGACTAAACCTCAAACCCCACACCCGCCATGAAGTTCCATCAATGGATGGATCCTTCTCTCAAAACATAAACTGCCTTAATGCAATAGATATTGAATTGCCAATTTAATATGTTTGTGTTACCTACATGAATATCATTTGTGCTTATTGTAAAAATAATACTTACAGATTGTACAATTTTAAAAATAAAAACAAAACAAAAAAAAATGTATTAACTAAAACTTAAAAACTTTTTTATAATACCCTCCCCCAAATTAATTACCGTATACGCCATTAGGTGTATAGGTTAGGTACATATGCTATACGAAATATACGTTCATCCAACTAAAATGCCATCGATATTTTCCGTTCAGATAGATGACGAAATATACCGCCATCTGCAATAGCATTTTGTGTAAGTAGAGTAGTAAGTTGTTAACGTTTGCGATAAACAAGACGAAACGGAATAAAAATCGTACATGTGTAAGACATGTTTTATATATTATTTTCCACGAAATAAGCTGTTCCACATATTTTATTACGTCCCCTCGGCGTGTTGCACTTGCGGCCGTCGAGACGAAAATGGTTTTTTCTCCTTTTGTAACATACTCGGTGCTTTCGCCTTATTCGTGTAAAAACTCGATTTTTTTTCTCAGCTAATCCCAAGCCACTACCGTTAACAGACGTAAGTCAACTTTTTTATTTCCATAAAAATATTATGGAAGGGAAATCTTTGAATCTATTTACCGAGGACCGAGTAGAAAAATATTCGGTCCACGCGTCACGCATGGGCGTGCGAAAGATATTTGGAATAATCCTTAGTTTTAATATATAGGTACGTTTAGTGATGGTTGCCGCATAATAATATAATATTCAAACGATATCATCATAATATATTATAATATTCAAAAAGCAATAACGGCCCGGTTCGAAATGTTTCGCATATTTTTACGCACGTATAAAGGATTTTATTATATTATGTGAACGATCAACCTCTAAAACGAAAAACTAAATATAGTTAAGTACAGTAAACGCGATTGGAATACCAGCCGCAGAGTTACCATTTACAAAACATTACAAATCGAATGAGGCACACGGTTTTGTGCGGGATGTTAAAAAGTATTTAAATCCTCCTCCTTTTTCTTCTAACATACGCCCCACACGGAAATCGTTATTGAAATAATATTCAAACATTCATTAGGATGGACACGAACAATGAATATTTTAGTTAGACATTTTAGTTTTTTTTTTTTTCGTTTGTTTAATCCGTGTACAAATCTGAAAACAATTGAACTGTATAATTATTATATATACATGCATATAGTTATTATTTTAACACACGCGGTCCAGAGATTATCTTTTTATGAAGATTTTAAGATAGGTTATTGATTTTGGTGTATTTCTGACATTGTTTCATGATTATATTTGTAATATTTGCAAATTTAAATACTATTTTATACGCGCACTCATCAAATTCTAACATTTGTAAAGAAAATAGTTTTTGTAAAATTTTGTTGCGTAACACTCATATTGAACTTATTGTTCACATGATAAAGCTTAAATGTTATAGTTTAACATTTAAACCGATGAACTTACGGAATGAATATCTAAACATATATAAATATATGAATATGATATGACTGCTATCCATCCCTTGTTGATTCACGATAAAAACATCACCCTATAAGCGTAGTTGAGTTAATAACCCAGAATTCAATGTAACTAAAAACATTCGATATATGACGTAGATACAGAAACTAGTACAGAAGGTAGGTACAGAAAAACGATGTATCAAAGATAGTAAATATAAAACAAGAATACGTTTTGAGATAAAAATACAAAATAAACGTTTAATTTAACTCCATTGTATCACAATGTATTATACAAACAATGTAAACTTGTGTAGCTACGAAGCTAGGCAAGTTACTAACTCAAAGTTATTAAAGTGGATTTAGTTGTTACAAATGTTTTTTTTTTTTTAATGTGCAACTTACAAAAGTTAGAGCGATTCGGTAACATAACAACCGGTTAGAAACCAGTTAGAAATTAGATTTTATTTAATGTCATTATAAACTTACAAACCTGTTTATTACAAAATTAAACAAAATTATTAAATTAATCTACAAAAATTCGTATCTAACACTGATTTCTTCTGAAAACTTTTTTTTCATAGCAATGTTACTCCATAGGTAATATTTTAATACGTAGTGGTAATATAAAATAAAAATAATACATGATAAACATTAAAGTTAAATCATACATTTCATCAATATTATTTATTATGCTTGAAGTGTAGATTAAAAAAAAAAATACGTTGTTCTTGGTACTACAGTCAACTGAAAAATAATTTTCGACCAGTTAGATAAATATAATATTTAATAATTTAACAAAAACAACACGACGAATCAGGAAGTTATTTAGAATTTAAATTGATGATTAACAGTTTAAAATTGGGGACAAAATTATATCTTTTGAAGTTAATTCAAATGTTCTAATTAGTTAATGCTTTATTCAATAGTTAAAATATAATAATATTATTATTCTAAAAGTATAGTAACTATTAAGACTTTTTAATATTTTAATCTATTCACGGTATGTTTCAGAATAAAGGCTTCGAGATAGTCAAGAGTAACACTATATGCAGATAAGAGTGCATTATTCTGATGACGTTGCGTGTATACTATTGAATAGTTTCTTAAGGATCGTTGAAACGTATTTGTCCTTACTGACTCTCTACCTTTATAATAAATCAAAAATTATAACTTATCAAATAAAAAATATTGAAGATAATTAACCTGATATTTTTGTATAAATTAAACTGGCGTTTTAATATAATATTAGTATTGGACATAGGTATAATAATATGTACTTTAATAGATAAGTAGGTATACTTATTACAATAAAATTTGAATTTTTTTTCAATCGTCTAAACAATTTTACAAACCTATTGCATAAACTTTGAATATTAAAAGCATATAAAAATAATACGTGCACGTAAAGTAAAAGTTTACCATAATATTATATAAAGGTAAACTTTTAATACAAATAACACAAGTTTTTCATTAGTTTCTCGACAAAAATAAAAATATGTATCTATATAATTATTTAATAAAAAACAATGTAATATTTTCTTTATAATCCGAAGTTACATAGAATATACGAAGTATAGAAAACTTCGTGAGAAGTTAAAAATATAGAGTTACCAACATTTTATAATCTAAAAGAATATTCGCCTTTAAATTTAATATCCTACACAACTGTGTATAAAAAAAAATAGTTATACAAAAATATTGTTAAATTTGGTTATTTGCGATTTTAGATTTAAATTATTCGACATATTTACTCGACAAACATTCTCTATCACAATACAACTAGCTAAACAAAAAATGGAGGTATCTGCTCTGTTATTAAAATGCGCTAATAGAACGTGGTAGAATTTAGTACTTCAAAATTGTAAAATAGTACTTCAATTTCACTCGTACAGTGTGTTGCCAAAATTTTGAACAGGGATTTACGAATTTGATTACGGACAAAAATATGGGGATAATAATAATAACATTAAAAATCTTTTATGCAGTATAATGATATTCTTAGGGAACTGATACATAAACCACTGTCAATTGATACGGTAATGGTAAAAAAAAAAAAACAATCAACTTTTAATATAATAATCAATATCAATATTTTATGCACTAAAAATAATATAATTATTGATACGTCTCGTTGTATTATACTTACCGGTTTAAAAATCAGCGCACCTTTGAGTATCGCGGATCAACGGACTCAATCGGACAACGGGCCGACCAACGAAAAAGAGATAGGAGAAATGCAGGTAAACAAATCTGAGAATTTGTTGAAACTATTTTTTACACTGATAGCGGTTTAAATTAGCCGTATACCTCGGTGGTGTCGGGAAAACGATGTAAAACCGCCACGAAATATTTCTTCGGATTTTTCCGACAACCGACGATATTATCACAATTTTGTTGGTCTTAACTCCACGACGACGAAACGAAACGATACCTGAGTGCTGTTGTGGACACTGCGAGGCAACGCGAGCGTCACGATCACACGACACCTCCCGGTGATCGACTAGAGTGGTGCCGCCGACGAGCCCCCGGCGAAGCGCAGTCCCTCCGGTGTGTCCCGTACGCACGCCCAGGATTCACCCTCCCCTACCGACCTCGAGACATTGACACCCCTAACCGATCCACCCACCCGTCATAATTCGGCGAACGTCTGTTCATACTCGAACCGTCATAGCGGTCAGAGTATTTTAGCGGGAAAATCCAAAACGTTTCGTTTCGTCACTCGATGGTGATCATCATCAATATAGGGCTGCGAATTTTGTGATTTATGAATAGTATTACGATTAATGTAAATTTGCCTATAATCGAAATTGTTATCATTGTAACCATGGAGGTTGATTTCTCGGTATTTGAATTTTCAAACGAGATTTGAGTATTTGAACTATTACAACTTAAAAATTAAAATACCGAAAAAGAAAATACTTGGTTGAGCGGATAATGTTCTTACATTTATGTTTGATAATTGGTTAAGTCACTTTCATATTAAAACTTCTAAACTTTCGAAGTCAATGAAATAATATGTTCATCGCCCAATTTACTTGAAGTGCATTGCATTAGCTTTACCCTTATCTTCATTGGTTGAAAAAACAAACATGTTAAAAAAAAAGTAACAAAAGCCATGGGCACCAGACATAATATTAAAAGACGGACATGCTTTACATGATGAGTACAACCACTGTTGTTGGTGAGAAGTTGGAAATGTAAGATAAAGAAGGGAAATGAATTAATGTCTAATTAAGTATCAAACAAAGCTATAGATATTTGATTCGAGTATGTTATAGATGTGGTGGCAACTCTAATTGGATACGTGACATCACAACGTAAGCGTTTGATTTATAATATAAATAGTATAATATGTATACCTAATGCAAAGTAATTATATTTTTCTCATTTGAATATCTATGGTTTAATTTTTTTTTGATAAAATCAGTGTTTTAATTAAACTTTTATACTGTAGCCATATACTTACCAATAACTTTAGACAAATATTCTGTTTTTGAATCGAAGTGTGTTAAAAAGTTGAGATAATTCATGGAATACCGAGTAATTACGGAATTTCGATAATACCTAGGTATTGTTTAACTATAAAGTTATCGAACAAAAAAAGACGGACATACTTCACACGTGGGTAGACCACTGCTGTGGGTGTGAAGTTGGAAAGTTGAGAGTGGAAATTTAATGTACCAATGTATCTGTAAGGAACGAAAAACCATTGCTAACAAAAAAACTATTCTGAATGAAGTTCGGTTAATAGTGTTGCTTTGTCAACATTATATATGTTATATTGTGGTAAAATAAATCGCAATATGTATTATATACTTCTCTTAATAATATTTATTTAATATTGTACATATTTTTCCCGGTTTTTTCCATTTATTAGGAAAATCAAAAAATGGCCTCTCGAAAGTACTTCATATTACCTTCCATAAGGATTGTCAGTATTTGTGCGTGATAAAATGTAATTATGTTAGGAGTTTGAATTGTGTTTTCATAGACGATTTTTTAAGTTGCAGATGGCCAGAAGATGGTTATACATAGTTTTGTCATTCATGTTAGATGGGTTCATTGCCAGTTCTCTCTAGAGTGAGTTAGACGTTTTCCAATAATATAATTAAGTTACTTATATGTTGAGGTAGTTTTCAAAATGTATTAGTTTTTAATATGTGAAAGTAAGTTGAGCTTAAAACAGAGCTTTTGATCATATCAGTACTTACGACTCAGTCCATTTTAGAAGGAAAAACACTAACGACGTTTTCTACCAGAAAAATCACAAAACACCTTTTTTGTTGCCTTTATGGTTTACTTTCTAACGGTATTATCGTCAAAAATTTTGAGCCAATTTTGAATTTTTAAGGAATTTTAATTTTTGGAAGTTTTTTGCTATAATTTGCTATAATTAATTAATAAATACACGTAGAGGCTTGAAACTTGGTTATTTTCTTTATTGGACTTGTATTGAACTTTTCTAGTGGTGGTAAAATTTCTAAAAACATTGGACGATTTTTTTTTTTAATAAGCGTTTTGAAATCTAATTTAAACCAAAATTGCAAAAAAATTACGGCACTTCAAATTATGTACTACCGAACTACGCTCGAAATCATCTTTCGTCAAGCAATGGTTTATCGTTGCTTACAGATATAAATGAAATAACTTTATGTATCCTACCTTCCCAACTTCTCGTAGAAAACGTCGTTAGTGTTTTTATAAAATAATGAAATCGTGAAATTGCACGTTTTCCTACGTTTTTTCCACACTGGAGTGATTTTATTTAAAAAATGGTTTCGAAAATCAAAAAATGACTTTTTTAAAGTTAGTCACCGTGAGCTTTCAGAAAAGTTGGTATACATAAAAATCGGAGGAAGTTTACTTAAGAAAAAACGTGTCCACAGACTAGAATAAATAAACATTTTAGTAAAACCAATAGCTTTTTTGCTACTCTCGGATTCTAAAACACAAAAAATATTGGTTATCATTTTCAAAATTTTTTAGGTAAAATTTGAAGTGTCTTGCCCAGCGGTTTGGTCTGGCCGTTGATGAATGAGTGTATCCGGTATCGGGACGTATTCCTTATTATGTTTAAATTGCTTCGAATTCTTATTATCGCGTTATTAAATTCGGCAACATTGCACAATCGTGTAATCGTTTTAACACGCGCAATCGTACACCAAAAAAGTCCACGCGCAATGGTAACGCGCGCGCGATCGTACGTTACCCAAAATCGGTATCATCTTGGGTGTCGTCGATAACAACCCGCGTCCGAAGAAAACCACACGGCACGTGGATCGATATTTGCCCACTATTGGTACAATATTATTGTGACTGTTTATGGACGAAGTGGTTTTGGGAACACATAATTCGCGGGGCCGGGTGCGGCCGCACCGCTGGCCCCCTCCCCACCACCATTGGACCGGTACCGATTTAAGCGTTTACTCAATACTTAATAAAACACGGTATAATATGATCATATTAATATTGTTAAAACCCCCCAAATCAAATTACTGTATTACGTTTCAAAATGTATCCTATACTTCTATGTGATGTTCACAAACCATAGACGCATTTAATGGCAATACTGTATAATATTATGGTTATATATATTTTCTACGTTGGAACCTGGCAGTTATTATTATCGGGTTCGTCCTCATATGTGCCCGCAGCTGCGTGAACGATCTATACAATAGTAGCGATATTAGAGTTTTCCGAGTGTGGACCCAACTATACAACGACCGATTGATCGTACAACTCAGAAATCGCCAAATCGGAAAAACGTATTAATGTAAACAAATATTATTACAATTAAAAGTATGCTACGACCACTGCAACGGGTCGGCCAAGATTTACTTATCATCTCCGTGCATAAAAAAAAAAAAAAAAAAACCTATAATTTGTCTGGTAGATGGCATTTGTATTATAATAATACAAATTTAAATATACCAAACACAATAATAATACTATTATTATTGTGTTTGGTCATTACATCAATTATAGAGTACCGTAGCCATTTTTTTGGGAGGGTGGGCACTTATAATTTTTAAACAAATTACCATGTTTTGTTAAACGTCAAGGTACACTGAAGTAATGAAAAAAAAAAAACTGGTGGCGCCATATTTTGTGTAACTTGATAAGAGATCATGAAAATTTAGCTTGGTCTATACGCAGTTCGTATACACATATGTTTATAAATTATGTTTGATTTATTTTGTAGGCATTTACTTTTATTTGAATAAACAATATTTATTAATCCCTATAATAAACTGTGCATAAATCTTGTATACAACGCTGTCTACCAAGTACATTTCTAAGGAGTTAAGTAGAATGTACTTTTGCAGATAGCGAAGTGATATTAATGTTGCAGAAATTAAATCGAACATTCAAACCTATGCGCGACGTCTAACGATCACTCTGTTGGTATAAAACCTGTCGTAAAAAATTATTTGTCTACTAGATGGTGTTAGGAGTAATATAAATATCAAATAACGGTACTTAAAATCGGAATATTTTAACGTACCCTCTATAATACATATAATTTTAAAAAATGTGTTGACACTGCCGATGGGCTTAATTACCAACTAGACACATTATACCACAAAATAGGATTCTTGTCGTTTTTCTGGTTTGGCGATTATTTATTCTGCTATTTATTCTGATATTGTAAAGTGTACAAATTAATAATAATCGGTAGCACCGCGGTGAGCCGTAAGTATTTTTGGTTTTACCTAGCTTTCTTTAATTATTATTATTAAGAATTTTAATTTATTTTTGTGAGTTTTTTGCTGTAATTCGGTTTTAAATATACGTAGTTACTTGAAACTTGGTTATAATACTAATACTGGACTTATCTAGACGTGATCAAATTTCCAAAATCATTGGACAACTTTTTGTTTTATTAAGTGTTTTGAAATCAAATTTAAACGAAAATCGCAAAAAAAAAAAAAAAAATATGACACTTCAAATTATGTGTTACCGAACTGCGCTCGGAATCGTCTTTCGTTATATAATGGTTTATTGTTGTTTACAGATATAAATGAAATAAACTTATGTATCATACCTTCCCAACTTACTTCACCTACAACAGTAGCCGCTCCCATCCCCATTATCAGTTCGTTTTTTAATTTGTATTTATTATGTTTTTATGTTTAATTTTATCGTTTACAAGTTTTTATAGTTTAGAACTTGTAACTATTGTTTACGCGTTCTCGTGCATAGTCTATTGCTTTGTCTAATAAGTCTGTGATCTTTAAACACAGTTTATCGTCAGGTTGCATGTACAAATTGTCTATAATAAATATTATTCGTATTCGGTTATAATATGTAAATTCGGTATATTGTACGGTTCCTCCAGTTGCGTATTTGTGTATACAAAATGTCTCGCGAAACTATTTATTTCTATCCGGTCTTCCAATAATGTTGAATCGTGTCCCGATTCCTGTAGTATTACGAACAATTTCCTTAAAAATCCCAAGCTCTTTACGTCGAACGTCTAAAACATATTGTATGATTCCCTTATTCATATTTTTAATATCCCTCCACTATACATTTATATATGTTTTTTTATTAATTTATATTTCCTTTTTTTTTTTAATTGTATTTATTATTTGTTTATATACTATCTAATCTTTATTTATACAGATTTTCTACCATTTACTTAATTATTTATTTTGGCGAAGGTGGTGGACCTGACTGTCTCACACGTTCATAGGATATGGTTTCTCTCGCTAGCTCTTGGTAATTTCCCAAATGTGGAAGATGAGTTCGTAAATCGTTATATACTGGTTTTAAATGGCCGTATTGCTCTTTTTGCATAAGCTCATTTAATGGGTTATAATATTCTTCTGGATTCGTATCATGTCGGCTATTGTGTACAGTTAATCGCTGTTCAGCTTTTCTACGTTCCATCCTTACTGTTACATAAATAATTGAAATTAATGTTATAACAAGTACTCTTAATGCTAACGATAGTTATGGTAGTTTAGTATGCCTTTCATGCGTAATTGTTGCTTCTTCCCTGGTTATTTCCGATTCTATTATTTGATTTATTTCTGCTAAAGATTCGTGTAGGCGCGTTAAAGATCTACTTCGTGGGTTCCATATTAAATTGTCATTATTAAATTTTATTAAATTAGGTGATTTTTGTAGATATACATCTAAATTAATTTTGAGTGTAAAATGTATGTATTTATTTGAAGATAACTCTTCTTCAGCCGTTAAAACTGCTTCTCTAATCGACATTTCGAACCCTGGGTCTTTAATTGTTATTTTCCTTTGCCCCGTTTTATTTTCTATTGCTGGATCTGGTTTATCCCGAAAACTAACCGTTACAGTATCCTCCTAAACCGAATATATCCATGAGTTTTGGTATTTTAACTTGTGATAAATATTTCTTTTTATTGATACAATTTTTGATTCGCACTTTGTTGGTAAATAATCCGGTTTATTATAAATATCTATTTCAAAAGGTTAATTTTTCCCGTTCCCTTGTATGGATTTTCTAGTCTGACAAATTCGGTAAATCGCTGTTATGTAATTGTTATGTAAAGCACTAAAGATTTAAAAAAAAAAAATGTCCCGTTTGTATAATATATTTTCCATAATTGGACTAATCAAGATAAATTACTATATTTTACATAAAATAACCTATAGTACTAATAGGTTTAGGATAGTAATACGTATAGTGTAGGTATTAATAGAGCGAAGAAATATTTTAAAAAAAGTTAAGGTTTAAATGTTGTATGGATGTTATAAGTTTATAATATAATAGCGATAAAATAAAACCTCCATAGCGGTATTGGTAATAATGTCCCAAATAAAACACAAATCATATTACATCGCAAAGATGTTAGGCAATATAAAATGTTTAGTGGGTACCGAATAAAATTACGAAATTAAAAAATTACATATCTTAAATATTATGTAAACTTACAAGATAATGTATCCGAATTCCTCGTATCTCGGGCAATTATATGAAGTTAATGCTTTGTAAATATCATTTAAACTTATACTGTATAGAATACTTGCTAATATTATGCCCATTAATGGTGGATCATACCTGGTTAGTTTTATCACTCTCCTTACAACCATAATGATCACATAAAGTAGTAAGTAGTAGATGTATTCAATTGCAGCTAATCCAATTGTATATTCGTAATTTTTCTGGAACATCTTAATATACAAGTAAACTAACCACCATACGATCGATATCAGTACGATTCCGGCCATTGTCTCTGCTACAGTGTTATTCGGTATTAATTGTTTTCACCTATTAAAAATAAACAAAACCACGTTGTTCAAATATAATTCAACAGTTCGCAGACATTCATCTACACTTTATGAATTTGTCACGGTATCGCTTTCATTAATTTCATCTGATCCTACTCCTATTAAACAAAATTATAAATTAAACTATTAATTAAAATGTATTATTTAATAACAATAAACATTATAAACCTTATAGTAAAGATAACATAAGTTAACATATGTAATCCCTAAGGCTCGAGATTTTTTGCGCAAAACTATCATATTTAACTTCAAATAATATGCATCTATTTGAAAATGTCAAAATATCCACTACTTATGCACAATTGAAAATGAAATATGATTGGATATGTTCTTTAAAAATGTAAAAAACGTGGTTAAATATGCCGCATCAGTAAAATATGTAATTATGTTTAGTGTTTGCGTATAATGTTACCCGATACCTATTTATGATATGCGTTAAAGTTCCATAAATAGATGTAGTGTTAGCTAAAATAATGTTAGTGTTGAAATTGATTTCTGTCTACCCATTGACGGAATATTCTAATATGTGTATTAATATGTGTAATAACACAAAAATCACAGTCAGCGGCAGATATAGCAACAGCAGCTCAGGATGACGACACTCTGAATGTGGTACGTGAGGCTTGACAGCAGCGAGCATCGGCGGAGTCGTAATCAAAGTATATGGGAGTGAGGAACTTGCTCGATCTCCCGGAGTCATTCGATACCATCTGCAAACGCCTCTCCGGGACTCCCAGGAGCCACGCTAAACCAGCCCTCCCCGGGCCCTCTGCACCACAGGTAGTCCCATTTGCTCGCCGAGCTACGGGTAGTACGATTCATGAGTTTTAGCTTCTCAAACTTCCTGAGAGGATCGTGCTGCCCGTCACCAGCATTCCAGGCTTGCTCGACGAAGTGCCACTCCACCTGGATCCCATTAACGATTCTCTATCGTCACGCAGTCAGAACCAGATTACGGCGTTCTCCACTCTAGTGTACCGGTCGGAGTCTACAGTGAACGCCCTCGCTTGCCAACTCCAAGCGCTCGTACCCCGGCCAACGCACCAGAGGATGACGGGCCGGTTTCCGTTCCCGATGGCCCGATTTCCGTCCACAGTCGGCCTGATATGCCACCTCTGGCAGCCTATTTTTAGCACTTGCGATTTTGCCCCGACACAATTGAAGCAAGCTTTTTTTCTCATCCATTTCCTAATACAATATCGACCATTTTAAGGGTACACGGATTAGAATATCTATTCAAAATATGGACGCGTACACTCTATCGTACGAGAGTTACTTGTTTATTGAGGGAAAAGTGAACAAACCGGACAACGCGGTAGGATATATATTTTACAAAATAATGGGTCGGCTTTTCTTTTCTCCGAAATGCCATACGAACTGAATGGCGTAGAAATAAAAAAAATTAAAATCACCAGGTATATCCTCGAATCTAAAAAGATACTGCTCCTATACACGACACGATTTGTATGAACACGAAAACGCTGGTTAGGATTTGGATAACAATGGCAAAATAAATTTCACGGATAAAAATAAATTTTCTGGTTGCTCCCCCCTCAAACATTTATTCGGATTTTGTGAAGATTATAAAAAAATACTACTCAATTGCAATCAACAAATAATTTTAAATAGGTCGTCAACCGATTTCGACACTCTGCGCTCTACCGCTGTGGACAATGAAAAATCCATTGAAATAAATAGAAAAAATAAATTTTGAAGTGACCCAAAGTTCTTTGGAAAATGACAGTTATTCGGGTAAACGATTTAAAAAATTAAAACAAAATAAATACAAATAACAATAACAAATACTTAACAGTGGATACGATATAATATGTAATAAGATTAGGTATAACTTGTAATAATTGTGATAACGGGCGAAGGCGGCGGCTGTGGCGGTGCAGGGGGGTGTATGTCGAACACGTGGTGGACAATTCGGATGGTCATGTAAAAGTATAGCACATAGTACGAGGGAACAGGTATAGCGCAGGCTTAGGCTCAGGCACATAGCCTAGAAACCCCCAAATCGTACTACTTCTTGTATTTATTATATCAACTACTTGTTTACTTAATACCATGTACAATGTTCTCGACCGTATTTTTATCTTTTCGACACATCATTATAAATATAAATAATAATACACATATTCTGGGAGCATAACATTGCATTCGTAAGTTTTTAGTACAGGCAGTGTATTGAGATTTATTTTTAAAACGATGTACTACACTCTAATATTGATGCACTTCAACTTTCTCTTGCCGATACTTAAAAGTGAAATATCTCATAAATGGTTTGATGGAAATCAAAAATTTTAGTACCAGCATTCATTTAATTAATACCCAATAAATGTTTGGGATTTTTAAGTTAAACCATTTAAAAATCAATAGTAGTTGGTGGTTTTACCCACAAAAATAAGGGTGACTAAAAATTACATAAATGTAAAATATTGTTGAGCCGTTTTAATAATACTTTCTAAAGTAATAAATGTTTCAAGTTGAGTGAATCACTTGGTAATTTATCTTAAAATACCATTGTAATTTACGATAAAAAAACTACTTGCTCCTAACAAAAAAATACCTAAGTTTTTAAACATGGATAAATTTTAAAAATAATATATTATAACATTACATTGTAAATAATAAAAAATAATCAAACTATTTATATTTCTTCACATTTCAATGTCTAATAATAATTTATTTAAAATAATCTCTTCTATTAAAATAAATTATTTCTAAGTAAAACGACTAATTTTTAAAATTTTTACTCTGTGTATTCCTTAATTTGTTTTTTTTTTTCATATTCAGTCGCGTTTTACTTTGACTTTGTGATTTATCTGATGATGGATTTATAATTTGAAGATTGTACAATACACATATCATAATACTCCAGACGACGCATTCATTTATTTATTTCTATATATAAATTATTTATTTGTAATACAATTTTTACTAACCACGTTTTATTTTGTAATCTATAATCAATACAATAATTGTACAAGTTCATAAGTAAAAATACACAATAGGTACAATAATATATTAAACATTTTTTCAAAATCTGATATATTAAAAATAATATAAATTCCAAATGATCCTGTGTGTTTTTTACTAGTGTACAATGTACACTTTACATTGTATACCGTATCGGCATTGGTAATAATATAAGGTAATACAAAAAAAAAATATTTGTGAAAGTGTTATACAATTAATAAAAAAAATAATTTTTGAACATATAATACTATGAAGAAAACATGTTTTAACATGGGATGACCATCTCACTAATGATCTATACCCCGCATGCATTAATATTTAAACAAATTCATAAATAATATTATTCAAATCAATCTTATAATACGTCTTAGACTAAAGAAATCTTATTTTTTATTTACTTTCCCCGTTACCGCGATTGGATTTCTTCAACAATTTAACCCCCAACCAAGGTATAACTAATTTCCCTAGAATGACTTTTACAAATATTGAAATAACGGTTCCGATTATTATTTTATAAAAANTTTGCATCTCAAAAACCAAACTTATCGCATAATATATCTGCAATTACAGATAACACAAAATTAATACAACGTAGGTAATAATATAACTGTCAAATTATGTTAAATCAACATTTTAAAGGTCATAGATATTTCATGTGTTAAATTATATAAGTACATTAAATCTTTAAAATATTTTCATCAAGATTTTGAAAGCTGGAGATACAGCATTAATAATTTATTATTCTATTACATGTTTTTTAATTGTTCGTATAAATTGTACGGTTTAATACACAAAAATGATTAAAATGAACACTAAAAATAACATAAACAATACATTACTGTATATTACAGTTTATACATTATTTACAGATAGCAAGATTACGAATTACGCCTCATATACAAGGTAATTCATTAAAATGGGTACACACAATATCTCGGAATGTATTTACTTTTTAGAATATTTTCATGTTTTAAAAATTTAAGAAAAAAGCTAGTTTAAAATTTAAGACTTACAATATTATTTGTCACCTTAATTTGTAGGGATAAAATAAATACCTACTTTTGATTTTCAAATGGCAACCTATATTAAAAATTTCATAAATAGATCGAGTTTTAGTTAAAAGAAATGTTTGTGTTTAATTTTTGATGAAATCATCATCATTCAACTTGAGGAGGCAGGTAATAATATTGATAATTATTATTGTACTATGTATCCTAATTATTTATTTCATCTTATTAGGTAACTAATTATTGGGCATACCTACCGAATTACCAACAACTAATTAGTGAAATAATTACAACACAGTAATTAACAGTTTTTCGTTAATGATAACGTTAATGATATTCGTTAATGATTTTGGTATCGGTGAATCGATTTAAAGTGGATTTTGGTTATACATTAATAAACAAAAAAACTACCATAAGTCAGTAGTATGTATATAAAAACACTAAGTTTGTCAAGTTCCTTTGATAAAATATATACGAAGGCAATGATGATGTGAGCAATCTTTACATTTGGAAGACGCCTTGCTACGATTTGCTCAATGGTTAGGACCGAGACACGAGAAACAGATACGTTGGTTAGGAACCTAAGTCGTGCGCCCGTCGACGGTTATCAAACCAAATTTACGAGATGTTTCGAGTGAATTTGAAATATTACAACATTATTACATTGGTGTATGTTGGAGTGTGGAGTCAAAATATCGCGGCACCTAGCATAATCAAAAATTAATACGTAGTGCTTATCGGCCATTTCTTGCACTGCCTGATCTTTTTGATATTTGCTGTCGTCGCAACGGCGAGTGCTTTTTATCGTCTTCCTCCCGCTGTTCGTAATGTGGATGATTGTGGTCACCGTGCAACACCTTTTGCCATTGCTCTTTTGTGGCGTTTTTGCGTGTTGACAACCCGATAGTTATATGGGTGGTCCGGTCAACGGCTTGAGTATATTAAAATATATCGGAAACCCTTTCCGCTGATGCTCCTGTTAACGTTGAAATTACTGGCGTATATCACACGGATTGGTCCAATCGACGAGTATCGACTCGCTTTCCGCTATACTTTTACGTATCGCTTTAATTGTCGTCTTGATTCTCGTGGTGGAATCTACGCCATTTCGATGTGCGTCAAAGAACGCTGTCATTTAGATGCGAGACAATTGGGCACATAGCACTGTTATGGGCGTCAGCTTTTCAATTTAAATATTATAATAATATAATTATTTTACGCAGTGCGTCAAAACGGTATTATTAAGGTATACTATGGGCCACAACTTTATTCGTGAGGTCAAATTAAACGGCGAAAGCTATTGGAAATCAAATCTACATTCTCCGGACGAGGACTGGTTGTATAAATCCACTTCAGCCGCTGCCAATCTCTACGCACCGAATTGGCAGGGCAACTATCTACTAAGGCTCTGGCGCAATACGAACGGCTGTAAACAAAATATTTTATCAATATATATTTTTACCATTATTATCGCACGACCCAGATGCAGAGCCCGGCGTGTGAGGTTATTACTCGACTGAACAATACAATAACATATTGTTGCCAAAAGCGCGAACTAAGCATCTTTAGCTGGGGGTTCCAGGGCACATGATCCGCCGCACGAAATATCGGCGGCTAGCGGTGATGGCGACAACGGTAATTTTGCTAGACGACGACAGCGAAGAATAACGGACATGAAGAGATATTGACGATGATTGCTTGAATGTGGAAATGTAATGGCAGTGGCGATAAAACATACGTGCCGTATTATTTGTGTGATGTAAACGCACGGCGAAGGTCACTAAAACGACCGCGAACCAGTCTCGACGTTAGAATCGGCACAGCGGTAAGGGCCAACACGCAAACTGGCGCGCGAAGAGTCCACGTAAATCGGTGCATAGAGACATANCGAAAAATGCTAGGTTCACGAAAACACATATAATAATGTGACGGACTGATGAAAATTAAAATTGAATTTGTCTCTATATTTGTGTGAGTCTAACACAAAACCTGATTGTAAAAAAATTGAATTATTAGTATTTGGATTGCACTGTAGGAAACTCTGTAAACTATAAATGTACGTTAATAGACAATTTAACGGTCTGTAATAAATGCTATATTAGACATGTTTTTGCTAATTGATTTTTTTTTTTCAATTAAACCCGAAAAATATTAAGACTAATCTCTTTGGATCCTTACAACCTTTATTTAACAAACTGGTAAGGAATGTTTCATCATGGTCAAAATTAACAAAACCTCAACTCTTACAACAATAAACAGATTGGGAAGAGGATACGGAAATAATAATTCTTAAGTCTATAACTAAGTACAACCCTATTTGCGTATTCTTAAACCTGGAAATCAATGTTCATTGGTCACCCACAACACCAACGATTAACTAACATTTATTTACTGTAGGTCCATATACTCTCCATTAGCTAGAGATTTGTATTTATATTAGAGAACAAATAATTATGTTCAACAGTATTAATTAATTTAATATTTTTCAAAGTTTATTACGTTACCGTTATATTCGAATTAATAAGCCATGCTATATTGATGAAAACTATTTCTTTAATATTGAATCCTGCACCCATAACTGAACAAGTTGTAGCTATTATTCGAATCTGAAATTCACCAAAAATTAATTTTATATATATATTACAAATACTATCAATATATTACATCATATCACAAAAAACCAAGTGAAGTAAACCAATGAATCAAATAATTAAAAAAATGAATGTTACTTATTATTAAATGACTTTTATGAGCCTAATTTAAAATATACAAAAGAAGAATAAATTGTATGAATATTATTCAAAAGTCGCCATCTCATTGGTATTATAATTTCGTATATTATTAATATTCATTGAAATACAATATGTTTTTTTATTTGTTATATTATATTCGTATAGTTTATCTGAAAATCGAAATATTTGTCAATCCGTAACAAATCATTCGTTAAGCGGTTTTTTGTTTTAAATTAAAGAGGATATCACTAGCAGTTTTAAGGCATATATTTTTTAAATAGAAATTTAAGGCGAAGAAATGGAGGATGAATGCTTTTCGGGGATTTTTGTTACGAGAAAAAAATTATTTTTGTTGAATTATGAATTACTATAGCAACATGGATGTAATGAAACTAAAACAGGACAGACATACCTCGCACGCAATGGTTTTCTCATCAATTTTTTTTTAAATTTTTCGATGGATGTATACTGTTAAGGGAGAAATAAATTTCAATTCACAAAGATTAAATTAAAATATCCGAAATAGACCTCAAAATTCAAAAAATTATCAAATAAATAATTACAAACCATAAGAATATTGCGAATTTCTAATTAATATAACAGATATAAATAAAATATCTGATTTTATGGTTTGAGTGATAATTGATGGTAAAAACAGGAACTGATAAATATATTATACACTATAACAAATTTGTCTTTTTTATATTTTCATTTGATTATTTTGACTATCAAATATATAGAGTATATGCAGTATTCCCGTGATTTTTCAGCAAAATTTTGAGAGTATACGGCTTATGAGTATTATGTAATATGTAGTTTAGCCTGTGGGAGCATCACTGTAGCGTAGTTGCACTCACTGTTGTAGGAGGAAAATTGGGAAGGTTTGATACAGATGCGAACTTAATGTATAACTGTAAGCAACGATACAAAATTTCAAACGAAAAAACGATTCGGAGAGTAGTTCAGTTGATAGTGTTGCTTTGTCAACAGAAAAATATGTAGTATATGTCATATTATGTTAAAATGTATATAACAATATGCGTCCCCGTGACAACAATGATTGTTGAAAAAAATTTAAATAATAAAAACCTCACAATAACAAAAAAAANACATTTTAAACTTTATCGTTTGAATCTTTGTATTTTACAGTAACAACACTATAGTACCATTACTTCCTCATAATTTTAGGGTAATTTTAGTAGAGAAGAAATTCAATGTATTATTGTAAGCTAACGTAAAAATGATTCTGTGTGGAGTTCAATGAATAGTGTTGTTATGTCAAAAATGTATATGCCATGTTCAGTAAACAATAATATTGGAATTGTTTTTTTTAAATATTGAAATCTTGAAATTGTATATTTTCCTAAATTATTTTCTGCTTGAGTTTTTTTTTTTTCTTTTTTGAAAATGGCGTTGAAAATCAATCTACACGCCTTGACATATCACTAATTAGGCTACACGTAAAAATCGGAGCAAATTTACTAGAAATAAACGTTTACGCAGACTAAAAGAATGATAGAAATGATTTCTTAAAAATACTAACTAATACTGATATTGAATAATTTAGTTTTGCTGATGACACAATTAAGTTATTAACTGACAAATCAATTTATAAATTATTTCATGAGTCTAATAAATTTTTTAAATTCTGTGTATTCTTGGTTTTGAAATATAAAATACAAACTAAATCTATCTAAATCTAAACTTATTCGTTTTGAAATAAATTCATCAAATAATCAAATAAATTATAAATTAAATATTCATTGTTTGAAAAGTTTATTTTATTTTCATTATTTTTGGTTTTCAAATTAATTTAATATTAAAGAAGTACAATAATTTAAATATATTGGTTTGATTTTTAAATATAAATTAAAATGGGTTAGGAAATTTTAATAATCATGTTATATAACAAAGCCATAATATTTTCAAGAATATAGATATATATATTTTAAAACTTCTCGAAAAGTGTTATAATATATTCAACCTTAATTCAATCTTTTTATTCAAATGGTATATCTTTTTGTGTAACTTAGAACAATCATTTATATAGACTTAATGTTACTATAAATTGAATCATAAAATATTTACTGAATTAACCCACTTTTACTAGTACAATAATTAAGTTTAATTTATGGAATGTGAAAAATCTGAAATGTATTCGTAATTTCTCTGTTTTATTCCAATTATATAGACATTATCACTTATATCCTATTTTCGATCATGAACAGAAAACAAGATTTAAACAAAATATTTATATCCGTTTATTTAATTTTGTAAAATTTTTTGGATCATAAAGTGTATCTTATATCAGTCCGAAATTATATAATACCATTAATAATAATATTAGTGATTGTGATAGTATAATTATATTTAATGTCTTTTATATACAAAATTTTTTAAATGTTAGCTTAATCCTGTTTACAATATTAATTTATAATATTTACATAAATTCATTATTTTTTAAAACGATACATTAAAATTGAACAATCTGCTCTATCCCCATATTTGTGGCTAGATACTATTATATTTATTTATACCAAATGTATCCAAATATATTTAATCTGTTAATTATATTTTTAAGAACTGCTTCCCCAGCAAAATTTTTCTTATCAGTAGATCTACAATAATGTAATTCCCAAATGTAGTTTTGATATAAAAACTTATTGTTATTGCAATAAATGTTTTATTATAATTATTTTTACAATTAAGTTCATTTTGTGTTCCTATAATGTAGTAAAATCTAGAAAATTTACGCAATGTACCTTATATCAATATGTTCAAATCATCAATATTATTGCCTTGTAAAATATGTATTGCCGAACTCCGTTCCGAATCGCTTATAGTTACCAAGTATTAATAGTTGTGTACCGATATACATTAAATTCTCTTCTATATCCTAACATTCCGAATTCTTACGGACAATAGTGGCCCGCCCATCGTGTGAATTATGTCCGAATCTTTTTTGTTTTTCTCGTTGAAATAAATTCAAACCATATGTATGGAAAAGATTGTCGTCCAAAAGGTACTTTTAGGAAGTCTTTTATTTATTTTCCAAGTGGTTTTCATAAGAACGGGGAAAAACCAGGATAATACGTAAGAAAAATGTGAAATGTACGAATTATGCTTTTATTATTTTATCAGTTTTGTTAATTGTTATAATTTAGCCAAAACTCTCCCTAGTAACTTAAAATTTAGACAGAAAACTTTAATTCGCCTTTTCTTGAGGTAGTAAAATTAGAAACAAATCTAGTCTATTTTTGAGCTATTAATAGACATTTTAATTTATCGAGTTTTGTACGTATTTTTTATTCATTAGGTACTCTGAGCTAAAACAAAAATACTTATTTCTTTATTTACAACTATAAATATTTTTAGCAGTTTTATTTTCTGTCATTATAGCGTATTATCTAAATCTTGCAAAACAAGAATATTGAATTTTTGTGTTCCCCTAAATTTTTCAAATTTTGAATCTCTAATCATGCTTACTTTTGGTTGTTGTCCTTTCATTAAGTATTCTAATACTATAAGTGTCTAATATAATTGCCATTAATGTATACTTTTTTATTTCATTTCAATAACAAATAATACTTACAGTAAAAGTAATAATAAGATTTCTTAGTGTTTCAGACAAATTTCTTCCGGTAATGTAATTCCTCAACTCGATATTGTGAAATCCGTAATAAAAGCCAAATAATCCAAATATCATAGGGATTAGAAGTGTAAAAAAGTATTTGAAAATTTTTGTAAGTGAACTAATTTGGTCATGTATAACGTCATGACTGACACTACTTGATATTGATTCATTTTTAATTTTTTCTCTTCTACCTCTCCGTTTCCAACCGAAACATGCCACCAATGCTGTTACGGCACATCCTAAAGACCATGTAATTGGAAAATGTTGCCACTGTTTGAATAATCCGATTAAAAACCCTTCGAATAAAAATAACATGAATCGTATAACTGATATCTGTAAAACAACATTTTAGAAAATAATAATAGTCTAACGTAAATTTATATTAATTAATGATTACATGAATATTATATTATTATAATATTATACCTAGAACTCATATAAAATTCCTAAAAACCATTTCAAAATTAAATCAAAGAAACGAGCCTGCACACTTCTCGTAATCGTTGTGAAATCGATTAAAGTAATTAATCAAAAATACTTCAATTATCAAATCAATAAAATGTTTATTTTCGTCTCCTAAAGACAAAAAGCAAGTAAATTTTATTTATTCACTTTCAAAAAGTTTCAAAACAGCCGGTTTGTAAAAAATATTATTCAAACACTTTTAATGTATCACACACCCATATCCGGTGAATAGTTTCTAAGTTATAACCGTTTTAATTAGGCATGAAAAAAATGCATGTTCAATAAAATTATACGTTATGCGATAATGAATTACAAACCTTCTAAACGAATAAAAAGTCTGAAGACAATGGCTAAAGGAAAACGCAAATATTTTTAAATACTGAAGCATAACATATAGTTCCAAAATATTCGGGGGAAGCGGAATACGACCGTTTTTAGATACATGTGAATTGATAATGAGTACGATTGACTCTAGAAAATTGATATTTTTTTGCAAAAATGGTTGTATCAGCGATCTTATAAGTAGATTGTACAATGCTTTACGTAACTGGGCTAATTTTTAAAATTTGAAACTCCTTATGCCGCGGCTAATTTGCCAAATTAATTATGTTTAATAACAACGAGGAAAAATGTATAAACGAATTACTTCGGAACAAACTATTCAAGAGACAGTTATTACAGAGAGAAATTTGATTAACGATCGCTGAGTGCGAAAATTAGCAGTAGGAGACGGGTTCATAAGTAATATTATAAGGAATAATAATGATTTTCAATGAAATTTCAGAAAAATATGATTAATTTTGTTAATAATTTTCAGAGGGGAAATAGTATTAGAAATATAAAATGTTTCAATTGCGGTAGAGAAGTCACCCTTTACGATAATTGATAATATAAAATTTCTAATAGATACAGGAAGCGATTAAGGCTTATATACTAAAGGATGGGTTATTAATAAACGTGAACAAAATAATATATCTTAGGGGAATTAATAATAAAATAATACAAACGTACAGAAAAGTACGTATTTTTATAAGGTGCGTTTTCGGCTATTTAAATAAATAAATGAAACTGTTCAAGTTATACAGTTTATATGGATTATCGCTGACCTATAAGCTATAAATATGTGTATATTTAAAATTATGATCGAATATATTTGTTTGGAAAAGGAATAATAAGAAAATAAATAATAATATGTAATCATAATTTNATCCGAGGAGCCGTATATTATTCTGACCAATTAGTAGACCACCTTCATTTTTTGATAACTTCCTTACTACCTTCTTTAGCAAGATTTAAAAGTACCGAACACAGGGCGTCTTCCCACTTTAGCCCTGTACCCACTGTAAATATTCCTGATGTTACTTTTTAATTTCTCACTTTGTATTTTGTGTTTTTCGTACCCATTTTAGTTAGTGTTATTGATTTTTTTGGGAAATCTAGCTCGTACATGATATAGCAGAGTCTCTATTTGCGAATACTATCATAGTCCTATTTATAATCTACGAATTATTGTCAAATGTTGTGTCGGCACTCATACATCTTTTCTACTATTTGACCTTTTATGGACAATTATTCTGTAGTTGAACGAACTTTTCGGAAGTTGGATTTGTAATCACCTAATCAATCCTTCACATAAGGGACAATGCGATTTAGTAGTATGTCAGAGAAAACTTTGTACGGAGAGTTCAAAAACGTTACGCTCCGTTACGAACATGCCCCTTGGCCGTCCAGTGTGCGTTAATAACCACGTGTCCGCTTTCCTCGTGACCGTTCCGATGCTACTCAATACGTATAGTGGCTGCCGCAGACGTGTTCACTGTTCACAGTTGTGACCACCTGGATCTTCAATGCCATTTGCATCGATCCACTAAAACTTAGCCCGACCGATGGCGTTACCTTTATTTTCACCGTGAACAGGTTCACGGTCAGCGTACCGTTTATTTAAGGTATAATTAATAACGAACGTAGAATTTCTTTCAATATAACTTCTAATTATTGGGATAAACGCAGATAAATGAATAATGTTTTAATACGCTCTGTGACGCCGTAAAAATCGATGGTATCATTATTAGATATCAACAAACATGGATTCATGACATATTCAGTGGCGAGTAAATTTATCAAATCATGAATTTAATATTCTTATATAGGTCAGTATTTTCTTATGTTTTTTTTCTAATTATCGTTTAGGAATTATTTATTTGTTATATAAGATATAATTATTTAATTTTTTGAATTATTATATGTTCAACAGAGGTAAGGTGCCGATTACATCATATCACCATCATAAATCATTTTCTCTATCATATATGCTAGTATACAATAACATTAGAAATTACACAAAAAGTGTCAATAATTTTTCATAGGAGACACAAATCTAGTATCCATGATAGACTATTACAAAAGTAGTATAGTTTTCGAATTTTAAACTAGAAATTAAACAATCTATACCGGAGTGACCATTTTTTATAAAAAAGGTAATTTTTAAATGATTTAATTGCTTTACTTGTCGATTTTTAGCTTCGTGATTATTATTTAGTTCATTTTCTTGTCTATTATATGCGTTGTTCCATATTGTGTTCGGTACAAATATCATTAAAATTCCATAAAATATTCCAATTATTACCTCAATCATTAAGTCCTTAATGAATACGAATAATGTTTCAAATTCAATATCATCTAAATAAAAAATAAAATATAGAATTATTCAATATTTAAATTCATATTATATAATTTTACAAGTACACAAACCATATATCTGTCCATAATATGGATACATTATTATTATATTCACTAATTTTGTCTTTCAAAGGAGTAATTACTTCGGACGATAAATATTTATATAGTAAAAACGTTTATAACTTTTACAAATGTTAAAAAACATTTTCGAGATTTTGAGATAGTAGAAAACTATATTTATATTCCGCACGTAAGTACATAATGTATGAGCTAGAAGGACTAATAACGTCTAAACAAGGCTGATGTTGTAGTCTTGTTGACAATACCCTTCACACTAGTAAAATATTTATTCTGAAAAGGTGATTCTGTCATTAAGTAAATTAAAATTATGAATGTGCCAACTAAACACAAGATCATAATGACCAGCGGACATCAGATATTATTGGGCTAACGTGCAACCCGCCCAGGATTTATAATTTATTACAATATATACAATATATAATTTTAATATATTGATATTAATCAATAAAAATTATCTGGCAATAAGAACAGCTAAATTCGTTGGCGGACGGCAGACTTTAGGTTCGGGTCTTGCCAGAAAATAATCAATTTATTAGGTTTATACTCCCCCCCAATTAACTTTATTACCTTTCATTACTAGATAATACAACATAATAATTAATTATATACACTGTCTTTTGATTAGTTTTCATAATCATATCAAACAGCTGATTAAATAATAAATATTTTAAACTCAAGAGATGTAGAAGTAAACGATTTTATTGTAACCTTCAATGGATAATCATATCATATAAATAAATTACATGGATAATAATAATCAACCCCGTATGTTTGTTAACACAATCGTAAATAATAATAACGAAAATGGCCATGATGTCAAAATATATTAATTAAATTTTTATTAAGGAAAAAAAACGTGATGGCAAATTTACAAAATATAAAAACATGTACTAATATTTTATAAAAAGGTCTCCAGTTTTAAAAATTTTGAGGAGTTATAATTAAATTGTAGTGACGTTCAAAAAGTAATATAAGCCCACACATTAAAAAGTACGAATTTTAACATAAAAAGTCAATATAGAAATTAATTACAAAATTGTTCCCTCATTTATATAAAATATTGAATGTTTTTATGTAACTTTAAAGAAAACCAAACACCTTGTTTTTTTCTTATTAGAAACGTGTACCTTGACCACAGCTACAAAATACTAAAATGAAAATTCTATAATATATTAAATCTCTAATAATATTTTTCACAAAAAATCACAACACAATTTATATTCACAGAAACTTTTTAAATATGTAATTACTTCCGACCTCAGATAACCAAAATGGAAACTACAATGACAAAGTAATATTATCCCTCCAAATTATTAACAAGACTGAAAAAAACAAACCATAGTAAAATCAATAAATTTCTCGTTATGCTCTGGATTTTAAATAAAAGTAAGCCATTATCGTATACTCAAGGTTCTCCTTTAAACGTATACAGTTAAAAATCATTAAGCGAATCGCGATAACTTCAGTATTTGGCATTGCTGAGCGGACGGCCATAGAAAAGTTAATCCTTGTACGCCACAGCGTACTAAAATTAAATACCTACACTAAATTTTGATTCCATAGCTAATTGGCAACAATAACGAGTATAGGATTGAGATAAAGCCCAATTAAGTTTTGTTACCTTTTAAATAACCACAATAGCTTCTCACTGGAACTCTCACTGAGATATACTCCAGAATAAAATAATGTTATGTAAAGAAATGAATTTCCTTCGAGCAAATGATAATTTTAAGCATAATAAAATAATACTTAAACATAAAATACAATAAAAAGGAAGTTAAGTTAAAAACAATAAGTTTTTCACGACTACTTAAAAAAGTCGATCTTATTCACGGCATCAGTGAAAATAATTTCCTTCCGAATAAAATGTCTTCACTCGACAATCATACGTATTTATTTCCACAATGCTGGTGTGAAAAGCAATGACCCAAATTTTTTGTTCTCATTAGTTTAAGTAATCGCGACGTATAACTAACGTTCCATATTAAAATTGTCATTACTACATATAAAACTATAGTATACATATATACCTAACATATAAATAATATTTAATGTAAAAAAAATTTCTGCTGAATGGTCTGATCATTTATTTTATAATATTTTAACTTAATATTGTTCGTGACCGTGACGAACGCCTATAACAATATTATGGTCGTGGGAAGAATACTATATCGATAAAACAAAATTGTATTATTTGAATATTAATTTCTACTTAAAATGATCCTCCTTTCAAATTTGTAAGCATTTCTTTTAAGTCTATCAATTTATCATCAGAGTACTAACCAAATAAAAGTTTTTTAAAAATTCTCAAAATTACAATATTTATAAACAGCATAAACTTTCCCCAATGTTCTAAACGTTTTACCATATATAAAACAAAGAAATACAATCAATCTGTCTAAATTATTGGTCTTTATAAATATTTTTAACTGTATTACACTAAAAAAACAAAGGATAAAATAAGGTATCGAAAAAGAAGAATAATTGGAGAAAAGAACGTCCTAAGATATTGAGGACGGGATCATTCACTGTTATAAATAATTTTATGTATAACTAGAAGGATAAAACTTTGCAGGCGAAAAAACGATTCTGAGTGGAGTTCAGTTGATTGGATGCTTTGTCAACAATATATATATTTATATATTATTTTTTTTTTTTAAATAATTAAATAGGCTTAATATATTTTCTATAATAATTTTTATTGAATGTTTCACCGACTTTGTAAGTTTTCCTAGGGTTTTCCAGGTTTTACCATGTTTAATCCAGATTATTACATTTGCTGGGAAAACTATTGAAAAAATCAAAAAACTGACTTATCTAATGTACCTTCTTAATAGAATTTCGTTTTTGAAACATTGCTATCATTAAGAAAAAGAAGCGAAATCGCTAGTTGGAAAGTAATGCACGGAAAAAAAAAAGCCGTAATATATTTTAACTAACACCAACAATTCATATATTTCCCCGGATTTTCTCGATTGTATAAATTTTATGAGAAACCTCTTGATGAAAAGGAATGACGAAAAATTAGTATCCTAGAGTTTAAAGCCACATTGATTTTTTTTAAAAAATTTGCTACACGAAGAAATCTGATCAAGTATTCTGGTGGAAAAATTGCGTTAAGATAAACGAAAAAAAATCAAACATCTTTTTAGAACTATAAGGTTCATCGCACCAATCAGAATCTAAAATGTCTTACTCCATAATAGCCAAATATTATAAAAAAACAGAATCGATAATATGTCATTTTTAGATTGGAGCGATATTTTTGTAAATCAAACATCGTGCTAACATAAAAACATAACGATGAAGACGGTATCGCCATGGCATAACTGAAATATTTGGCTTTTAAATATAATTTTTTTTCAGGAATTCTACAACTATTTCGAAGTTTTCTGGTAGAAAAGTTGCTTAAAGAAAATTAACACATTTAAGTAAAATGAATAGATACCTCGCTAGGCTCTGAATCTAAAATTGCATACCATCGATGTGGATAGTAAAAAATTATTCTATAGATTTTTCACTTACTTATCCCATAACTGTTCTCTGTAATTGCTTCAATTTGCAGAAGATATATCATAAAACCTTCCGTAATGCAAATCACCACTTCCATTAAATTTAATGCAGCAATCAAAAGGGAAATCGTGTCATTTTCTTCACTGAGAAATTTACGTTGTAATCCAAATAAATTAGGCAATA